CAGACAGAGTATGTCATCTATACTGCTCCTTACAGAGAGAGGGGAGCTATGATAGCCTCCTGAACACCCCAAGAGGGCTTTTGGTGGTCTCAAGCAAGTCCAACCCTAGAGCCCTCATCATTCTAGAGGCGGTCACTTCACAATATGACCCTAGAAGGGACCACGAGTAGATCAACGGCCAAAGGAGAGGACATTCCATCCACCAGATCGGCCTCGTTTCCAGGTTCAGCTCACCTGCCAAGAAGAAACCCTTCCTATTGGACGTGAGGACAAGGAAAAGGAATTCTGAGGCCTTGGTTGGGTGTCCGACTCCCAGGCACAATTTATCAGTGCTATGGAGCTGTCAGCCACTGACATGATAAGGAATAACACCGAATGAGTAATGTTTCAACTCCTTTAATTACGAGCCTCCTCTTTGAAGAACGGAGACAGAAGATGCAGAAACCCCAATTTCATGCACTTGTGCCTGAATAATGTCTCCATGCTGCTTTTTCCAGATGGCGACCTCCTCACTGGAGGGACTAATGATGTGGGCATATTTAGGGAAAAACCAATAACGGAGTCTTTAACCTTCAACAACAAAAAGCATGTTGTACAAAATGTTCCTGGGGATGCATTAGAAAATATCAATTACATTGCTCACTGAGGTGTAATCAGCTGTAATAATCAAAATTAATTTTTAAAAATAATTAAACAGACCCCAGGGCAAATAGGCGATGCTCTTATTCTATGACATCACAGTGTGCATATGTACCTGAGACGCCGTGCCTTCTGTCAGCGACAAAGGCATCTTCGCTGAGATGAGCATTACATGTGGGGTCTGAAGGCTGGCGGGCTCCATCTCAGCACAAGGAGGGGCAACGAAGTGCCCTGGGCACACCCACACCTGTTCTCTGAGAGCCCACTTGTATGTTGCTGGCGTTGTGCCCGACCTAGAATGAGCTACCCAGAAAGAATGCCGCTAAGCAAAGGTGTTATTTAAAAAATGAAAACACAGTCTTCTTGGTTCGAAAATGAACATGTCTTTCAGTGGGCATCTAACCCAGCACTTAAGATGTCACCTGGGGTGCCCACGCCCACATTGGTATGGCTGAGTTGCTTCCAGATCTGGCTGTTACTCCTGGCTCCAGTTTCCTGTTAGTGCTGACCTTGGGAGGCAATGGTGACAGCTCAGGTAGCCGCATTCCCACCACCCACGTGGAAGACCCAGATTGAGTTCCCAGCTCAGTTTTCTGGCACCAACCCAGAACTGGCCATTGTGGGTATCTAAGGAGCAAACCACTGCATAGGAGCTTTCTCTGTCTCTCTTGCTATCCCTCTCAAATGGATAGATATCTATTTTATTCAAAGAAAGTAAATCCATGGGAAATACAAGATAACTTTTAAGACAACTGTAGTGTTTTTTTCTTTCAAAACCCTCAAGATATGTTAAGCCGCAGAAAGGACCAATGAATCGGGTTGAAGAGAAAGGAGAGGGTGAGGGAATGTTTGTGTGTGTGTGTGTAAATATTCATGTGTGCGTGTGTGTGTGTGCGCGCACATACACACATGTATGTGTGTGAGACATGGCAGTTTATGTCATGAATTGTGTGAGGTTACAGAGGGTGGGCTTTGCAAATCTCTCTGAGCTTCTGAGTATCTAACCCAAGAGAAAAACCTAATGAGCCGTCACATTGCTGCCAGCCGTGCACTGCTGGACACACAACTTGCCCTTCCCAGTGTCCAGAGTTCAGGGACACACTCCCCGAGGCTGCTGGCAAGTGGTGAGGCTCTGGGCACCCCGTTCTTCTCCCTCTAGTCACACCCACCAATGTGGCTGGAAGACACCCCGCTCCTGTAGGCTTCAGTGTTGTCACCCAAGGGTGCCTCTGCCTGGCCACTCTGTAGCAACACAAGACTCGTCCTCTTCCTCAGTTCGGTCCTTGGCCCCCATGCTCCTTGCCAGGAACAGTGTGGCAAGTATCCTAGCTTCTCTCTCACAATCTCTCCCCTTATGATTCTGCTCTGGTTTTTTTCTCATTGCAATCAGCACCTCCAAAATTGATAAATTCATGCATCAATTCACTCTGTCTTTGCCCCTTAGAATAAAGACTTGTATGAACTCAGTGCAATGGCTCAGTTGGCTAATCCTCCACTTCTAAGCTCCAGGGTCCAGTATGGATGCCAGTTTGTGTCCGGGCTGTTCCACTTCCCATCAAACTCCCTGCCTGAAGGCAGCAGAGGATGGTCCAAGGGCTTGGAACCCTGCACTCACATTGGAAATCCATAAGAAGCTCTTGGCTTCAGATGAGCCCAACTCCAGCAATTGTGGCCACGAGGGGAGTGAACCAGCAGATGGAAGATCTTTCTCTCTGTAAATCTGCCTTTCCAGTAAAGATAAATAAATATGAAATAAAAAACCACTATAGATCTATGAAGGCTGAGAGCACACCAGTTGTGTCCTCTGCGACAGCCTCATGGGTAGAGCAGGGGACAGAGCAAGTGAAGTCTTGCGGAGTGAATGGGACTTATGGAGTTGATGGAGACGATGTGGCCTTCACCCAAGGCAAGGATGAATCTGGAGAGTTTCCCTTCAGACCTCGCAGGGGTTGAAGCGCATGCATCACTCACATGTCCCCACCCCTTTGGTCATCCTGAGCTTCTTCCACACAAGCTGAGTCTCCACTGAGCTCCTCGGGGCTTGCCCACAGCTGACTGGCGCCAATGGCAATGGTCTGGGGCAGGAAGGAAGGAGATGGGGGACTTGGAGGAGGCGCCATGGATGGCTGTAAGAACTCCCATTGCAAGAATGACTTCACTCAGCACCTTCTCCAGACCTTCCCCAGTTGCCCAGCCAGGCTCACCCGCACTCCTAGGGTAGAAGGTGAACTCGGTCCAGGAATACAAGTGCTGGGGTGCAGAAGAGGAGCTAGACACGTGGCACTGATCAACAGCAGGCACCAGGGCACAAGGTGGGCTGCCAATCTATGCTGCCATCTGGGGAGTGACCCCTTAGTGGAGAGAGTTCTTGGGGAAAGGAGGCGCTTACACATAATCTTCTACTCCTGAAGTGTTACAGCTCCCCAGGGCTTCCACTGGGGTGGTGTGAACAGAACACACAGCCCTAGGACTCCTTCCCAGGATGTAGAGATGGGCAGTGGTCTTCACTCAGACAGTCACTGACTGCCAAGCCTGAGAATTGTTTTAGATTCCATTTGCACCTCTAGAAGACAGAGCTGGAGGCAATGTTTAGACTCGTGGTTAAGATGAACGTGTCCCACACCAAGTACCTGGGGTACGAGTTACACAGTTCTGATTCCTAACTCTACCTTCCTCTGAGTATGATTTTTGGAAGCACGAGGACTCAAGGAGTTAGGATTCTGCCACCTTTGGGAGACCCGAATGGAGTTCCTGGTTCCTGGCTACAGCTGGCCCAGTTCTGATGATTATAGTCATTTGGGAAATATACCAATAGATGAGAAAACCATTCTCTCTCTCTGTTTCTCGAATTGCCAACAAAAAACAAAAACAAAAGTGTGCTAGAAATGATCTTTCTACTACTACCTTCTGATGCAGCTGTCATGAATCTTACTGCGTTTCTCACTCAGTCACTCATCCTTTCATCCAGTTGGTGCATCTGTCAGCACACCTAATCGAGCCGTGTACTTGCCATGCCCGTGCACTGAGCCTGCGGGTGAATGAAAGGTGGGTTGTGCGCTCCATTCCTGGCTCAGGGACCCAGCCGGCCCGGTCTGGCTTTCTGCTGACCTGCCCCTTCTGCTTAGAGGTTCTCCTTCCACGAGCCTGGACTCCTGATGACACAGGCAGCTCCCCTCAGCTGGGACAGTGCCTGCTCATCAGTCTCTGACCACAGTGGACAGTGGATTCTCAGGAGGGGGAGCTCCTGATTCCTGGCTCTGCCCTGTAATGGTGCAATGTGCCCGTCTGTATCCTCACCGTCTCCCCAGGGAGCCCCTTGCCAGGTCCCTCCATGATTTTGTCTCATTGTGGGAAAACGGAGACCAAGACTGCTGGAAGCTCACCCAATCTCCTGAGGATCTCCCGACTCTAAGGTCCCTTGGTTACCTGAAGATTCCCAGGCTCCATCATAGGAGTCCATGACACACCATGTTTTCCATCAGGAGCCCTGGCAGCATGTCTAGCTCCAAAGGGTCTTCCAGAACCATCCCACACCCCTATCTGCTTCCCTTCCCTTGACCTTGAGCAGGACCTGGTGCCTGCCTCAGCCACAGTGACATCGGCTGACTTCTGAGACTTGGTCACAAAAAAGTGATGTGACTGTTGCATGTTCCCTCTCTCTCCCTCTCTCTCTTTTTCTCTCTCTCAACATCAGCAGTAACAAACCCTGCCACCATACTATAAGGAAGCCCAGTGCATGTGGAGAGTCCACACCTCCCACTTCCAGCCAGCAGCTACAGCTAAGGTCTTGGACCAAACCCAGCAGTAACCACTAGAAATGAAAGGATCCCAGCTTCCGATGATCCCAGCTAAGGCTGCAGACACAGAGAAGAAATACACCACCCTCCAATCGGGTACCAAATCCCTTTAGCAGCATCTGGAATCACCAAGGGGCACTGTAGGCACCACTGAGTGATGGGATGATTTAGCTTTTGAGAAATGAATAGAAAAACCCCAGTGGCTCATTCCACACAGACAAGAGGTCCCACTGTTGCAGCCCCTGAAAATGGAGCCAGCAAATGCGTTCTCTCACAGTACCTGCTGAGTAATGAGACAATGCCCCCTGAACACACCTCACCCCAAAGAAGAGTGAGAAACACCTGTGCCTGGCATGAAAAGGGAGTCCATGAGCACTGAAATCAAAGCCAAACCAGGACCTTACTCCCCTCTGGCCTCCTCCACTGGAGTCACATGCTCACACAGCGGTAAGCACTCAGAGGATCGTGGAGCCTGTGCAGTGACAGGCAGCAGGTGGAAGGCATGAGCACGGGCCAGGAAGCTAATGCCTGGTGTTTCTCTGAAGAATCGAGATCTAGGCTCACCTCTGCCTTGCACTCAGGGTCCTTGGCCTGCCGCCCGGGCACCAGTCTCATGGCTGAAGATAGGCTCTCACTCCAAGAAGCAACTTTACTGTGATGGGAGGCATTCGAGCGACCTGTCAGGGACTTCTTCTCCGACGCTGGGGGCAGAAGGCAAAAGGAAGTTAGAGGTGCAGCTGGCAGGAAGGTAACCTGTGTTTGTACAGCTGTCTCGGCCCTCCGAAGGCCACCATGTGAACACAGCCTGCCTGCCGTCAGTGAGGGGAACAGCCTGGACTCTGAGCTAATGGTGCATTTTTGGGTCCTCTTCTTGCCTGGGAAACTTGGGATAGGCTCTGTGGTCTCCAGGCAGGACTTAAGCTACTGGCTCCATGGCTTATGGCTCACGGTTAGGTCTTTGGCGATTTAGTCTGTTTTCTCACCCTGTAAAACTGGGATAATTACAGCTAACTCACTGGGTTGCCCTTAAGATTAAATGAGAGTGGGACAGTGCTGTGGCACAGTTGGTAAATCAGCTGCCTGAAAAGCCAGCATCCCATGAGGGTGCTGATTGAAGTCCATGTTGCTCCATTTCCCATCCAACTCCCTGAAAACGCAGCCTGAAAACACAGTAGATGTCCCAAGTCCTTGGATCCCTGCACCTATGTGGGAGATCTGGAAGAAACTCCTGGTTCCTGGCTTTGACCTGGCCTAGTCTCAGTCTTTGCAGCCATTTGGGGAGTACATCAGCGGATGTAAGATCTCTGTATATAACTTTGAGTTTCAAATAAATAAAAAAAAAACTTTTAAAAAGACTGAATGAGAATATGTGTTTAAAGGACCTGGAATATAAGAAATGTTAAATATACATTTTTATTAGCAAAGAGACTATCATATAAGCTTTAAGATCCATTTAATTTCTATATTTTACTACATATGCATAACATGAAAAGGTAAGTTGATGTGGACGCATGGAAATAGCTGAGAGACTTAAAGCAATCACAAGAATCGTACTTAGAGAGCAGAAACTTCTGGACAAACCAAGTTAAAACGTATTCTGGCAGCCATGTCAAATGATATCAGACATGGAACTGATAGTGTGCAAAGCACGTTAGTGTTTGGAGGGTGGAGGTGGGATATTAGGACCCTCACGAGAGGTGAGGATCAAGGCAGGACAGAGAATCCCAAACTCCTAAGCTCAGGTCAGGTGTAATCCTGCAGAAGATCAAGGAAAGGGAAGCAGATGTGGGTATGGGATGGTCCTGGAAGAGCCTGTGGAGCTGGACATATTGCCAAGGCTCCTCACGGTGTGTCATGGATTCAGATGTTGGGGGCCTGGACATCTTTGGGCAGACCAAGGGGTCTTAGAGAATCCCAGGCTTCATGGCCCATGAGTCATATCTCCTGTCTAAGAAATTACTAGAATTCCTCTCATCTACATGGTTGATTGGCACCTATATCCTTCCTCTCATCTAAGGTGCCTTGCAACACTGGTTCAGCATAAGGATGGGCACATGAGGTCAGGGAGGTCAATGCCACTTGGAAGGTCGAGTGGAAAAAGGCTCTGGGCCCTGAGGGGCACCTCGGGGACGTCTGGCCCCGCAGGTCACAGGAGCTCCTGATGGCTGGGGCAGAGAACACACCTAAGTAATGCTGCCAGGCCTTCTGCATCGTCTCCTCCCACAGCGGGGTGATCTCTTCCATCTTCACTTGGCTCTCACCGGGCTGCACGGACAGATCTATCTTGCAGGCATCCTCCAGGGCTTGCCGCCTCTGGGCCACGAGCTGCTGCCAGAGAGTCTGCACCACCTTCTGGATGTTTTGCTGGACTAGCAGAGAAAACAAATGGTACAATTAGGACAGCTTGAGGGCCTCCCGCAGATGGAGCTGGGAGATGACGCACCATGGCAGCTTCCCCACCCCTGCCCTGCCTCCTTCCTCTGAGTGCCATGAACGCCATTCCAGCTTTCCAAGTGTCGGTCACAGGACTGGCAGCAATACTTCCACTGATCTTCCCCCACCTCCAGCCAGCCTCACCGTGGTGGCCTGGGACTCATGGAAGATGAGGAGGCCCCTCAATTCTATCAGGTGACAGTGTAAGCAGGTGTAAGTTCTCCCAAACAGTGTCTTCCAACATTGCCTTCCATAACAGCCTCTCGGGGAAAAGATCCACCACACTCCAGACGGCCCCCAGGGGCTCAAGACCCAAGTCCTGTCCTAGCACTCCCCTGCACATTGCTCCGGATCATCCCCCACCTCACTGCCCTGGGTTTGCTCACATATGGAACACAGACCATCAAAGTCAACTCTGCCTGCTGCAGCCCATGTGTCTAATAATCTGTGAACTCAGTTTCCTCTGATCTCAGATCACTTTGGGATCTGCTCCGGGATCAGGCTCCGGAGCATTTTCCTCTCCCTAGGGGGATGGACACTGTCTAGTCTGGCTCTCCCAGGAGCAGACCTACAGGAGTTCTGTCTCCTAGACCAAAAGAAGCCACAATCTCTCAATTTCAAGATACGAGCCACTGAAGCCAGTGCAGCACAGTTCCTCCTGTGGGACTGCCTGAGAAATGTATGGATATGTTTGTTGCTAATTGTTGATGCCTTTAACTTGATTTGAGATTAGTAACTCCAAGAATAAACTCCAAATAAATGCAGATTAAAACCACAATAAGACAGTACCTCACCCCTGTCAGAATGGCTAAAATCCAAGGAATAACAAATGCTGGGGAGGCTGTGGGGAAAGGGGAATACTTAAACACTGTTTAAGTCAATTATGTCAATTAGCATAGCCACTGTGGACAACTATGGTGACCTGCCACATGATCACGTGTCGCTGTCCTGCAGCGATGGACTTGGTGCACAGAGCCAAAAATAACACATTGGACTACTGACTGATGGTCAACAGCCAAAGTTTATTAACAGCATCAGACTTTTAAAGGAAGTTTGTCAAGTATGCATCCAGGAAGGGGGGGGCTGGAGCCATTTGCATTTCAACAGCAAGGGGCAGTCCCCCAGTGCAGTTTGCTCCTATAGCATGTCCTTTATGTAAACCTGTGGGACCAGGAAGTTTCCTGTCTATCCATCTCCACATCAACTGCTCCCGGGCCTTTCCGAGGAGATTCAACTGGCTCTCCCACAACAGCGAAGATTCTGAATGTCCTACAATCCCGCAACCCCATAAACCCAAAAGACTTGAACTCATTGTATCAGAGATGCCCGCACCACCCTGTTTATAGCAGCACTGTTCAAACAGCCATAACTGAGAATCAACCAAGCTGTCCATCATCAGATGGATGGATAAAGAAAATGTGGTATTTATACATAATGGGATATTACTCAGATATAAGAAAGAATGAATTTTTATCATCTACATCAAAGCAGATGCCATTGGAGGACATCATGTTACATGAAATAAACCAGACCCAGAAAGATCAACACGGCATCTTCTTCCTGATCTGTGGGAGCTAAACATTTTTAAAAACAAGAAAAAAAAATAAAAAAGAACAACAGAAAAAAAAAAGAAAGAAAAAGAAGGAAATGCCTGTGTATACCAGTATTGGTGAAAATACGATGTGAACAGTATTGGTTTGTGAAGCTATTTTACACCTTTATCAAATCAAGGGTCAAGAATGTTACCCTACTGTACTTTTAATGATCTAGGATTACTTTAAAATTTACCGTACATGACTGCAATGATTGTTTCTCCATTTCATCAATGTTTATATCAGTTGTTTATTTTCCCCTTAAACTGAAATCTTTTCTGGTTTTTATCAAATTTCTTACCTGGTAAAACATTAAGCCTATTTACTATAACGTAAATTTAAGACAAAGTATCTCAAAAACTAAACAAGCGGGAATGAGGGCAGGAAGGAAAGAAGGACAGGAGGGAGGGAAGATGGGAATGTCGTTATATTCTTGGCATTGCACTTGGGAACTGAACTGAGTCTGTTAAGAACTAATTAAAATAATAATGTTTAAAAAAACACAAAGGATAAACTTCATTAAGCCAAAAGTCCTGAGTTTGTGTATCTACTGAGGAACACAGCTGAGAGCTGGCCAGGTAAGGGTTTGTATCAGGTGGCATGGCGCACAAGCTTCAACTTACAGTGAAGTGCCCAGGGGTTTCATAAGTGGGTCAAGCTCCCAGTCTAATTGAGACCCTCCTGAGCTTTCTGTTTATCCATCCATACATCTGTCCACCCATCACTCGTCAATCAACCACCACCTGTCCATTGACCCATTTATCTGTCTTTCCATCCCTCCACATACAATGATGACTCCACAGTTGCTTCCTATCAGATTAACTTGCTGTACTATTACCTCACTCTGGAATTTTCTGGATCCTGTCTGGCCTTTGAAACTTTCCTTGGCAGTTTTTTATTTCTTACCTTGAGAAGGGTTAAGCTTAATTATGCATCCCTATTAGGTACCACTTTCCACCAGCACTCCTTCCCCACCCCTACGTACCCCTACGCCAAACAACAAAATCAACATACCATCATTCAGGCTCGGGAAGTCTTCCCCTCCTTTTTCTTTCACTTCTTCACTTGAGGAAAGGAAGACTTGATGATAAGGAGTCATTCTCGGTTTGGGCTCCAATCCAAATCCTTCTGGATAACTAGTAGGCAAGAGATTTTCCACTATAACTCCAGTTTCTTTGAGGGGAATTCTGTGCATCTTTATTATCATTAACCAACCTCTGCATCCAATGTAGAACAATATGGAACAACTTGCCCAACCAAGTTTAAGTTTTACAATCACTTCCAATGAAGATATCGTACAATGAAGATATCGCACAGAGAGTAAGACAAACATCTTCTCTTTCAGGGCAGCGCTGTGTATAAATTCCTGCTCCGTGCTGTCAGCACACCCCTGGAGGCCATTCCTGGACACCCACCAGCAGAAGTGATCATTTTTGGAGCCAGTGTTGTGGTGCAGCAAGACAAGCCACCACCTGCAATGCTGGGATCTCACATGGGCACCAATTTGACTCCCAGCTATTTCACTTCCCATCCATATCTCTGCTAATGTACCTGGGATGGCAGTGCAAAATGCCCCACCGTACCCGTGTGAGATACCCAGATGGGGTTCCAGGCTCCTGGTTCAGCCTGGCCTAGCTCTGGTCAATATGGCAATTTAGAGAGTGAACCAAATGGAATCTCTTTCTTTTCTCTCTCTCTTCCGCTCTCCCCCCACCCATCTCTCTATAAATCCACTTCTCCAATAACCGAATAAATCTTATTTTTTAAAAAAATGGTCATTTCTTTTTAATTGAGAGGAAGGGAAGGGGAAAAAGAGAGAGAGAGAGAGAGAGAGAGAGAGAGAGAGAGAGGAGAGAGCGCGTCCATTTTCTGGATCACTCCCAAAAAGGCTTGTAATGACCAGGACGAGGCCAGAACCCATGCCTGAAGCTGAGAACTCAATTCGGGTTTCCCACGTGGGTGGCAGAGACCAAGCTAACTGAACACCCGTCATCTGCAGTAGTAACAGGTATCCTGGAATCAGGAAGGGCACGGGACTCAAACCCAGGCACTCGGGTATAGCTAGCTGGGTTCTTACATATACAGTAAGCCAAATACAGATCTTAGTCATTTCATTTCAAGTGCTCCTAAAGCTGGGAACTCCACTTTTGTTTGTCACTGATTCCACTTTGCCTTGCATGGGGCCAGAGCTGGCTCTCTGGGCATGCTCGATGCAATTGCACAGTCAAGGGCCCTGGGCTGGGTTACTGTTGTCACTGTCGTGAAGTTGTTGCTGATGCTTGGACACAGGCTCTGCATCTTAATTTCAGCCAAGACATTAGGTACCAAGCTTTTCCCAGGAGGGTGCTCTGGGGGATCCCACTCATATTAATATGTGTCTAAACCCATTTTAGGGGGCCTCTCTTTGGCCCTATAAGCAGAATAGACACTTGGCCATTGTATGGAGACTGGACCTAAGATGACAAACATGGAATTGAAAAGTGACCAGCCAGTGAAAAAGTCCATTCTGGAAATTTCTAGAATAGTCACCTTTGGTTATTGGAGACCATTTTGCTAAACCATGGGTGTCATTTCAAGAAAACCAACCAACTGGTATTTTGCCTCGTTTTCAATTTTGAGACTTCAACTATGGAAAAGAGAGGGAAATGCTTCTAAAGGTAATCATACATGGAAGAGGTGGTTGTTTTATCTGAGAGAAATAACGGGACAAGTCTTTCTGGGCTGGCAGCCTTCCCCAGTGCTTCTGGGGGAGTTCAGAGAAGCCGACTTCAGGGTCTGCTGATGTTCAATGGACAACCCTGCAAGACCAGGTACCCAAGGTTGTACTTAGTATGGAGTAAACGTAATCAAGAAAAAAAGACAAGCTCAAAGTATGGCATCCCATCAGCCTTTCTTCCTCTCCATTTACTTTGGCTCAGTTCCTTGGAGATAATGTTCCATGGGTAGCAAGATGCTCAGGACACAGGCCAGACCGCCAAAATCCAAAACTGCTCCAACTTGTTTAGGGGACTGACATGATGTCATGGTGGAAAATCCCACACCTGTCACCTGTCATATGTCGCATTCAAAGCACAGACTCACAAAGAACACTGTACATAATCACCTTGGGGCTATAAGATGCATACAAAGCGAATGGATTTCACCTTCAAACTTGGTCCCTATCCTCCAGCATCTCATTATGCATTCTTAAATCAGAAAAAAAAATCACAACTTGCAACCCATTTGGCTCTGAGCATTTTGGATAAGGAATGTTTAGCCTATTCATATAGTTTCCTGTGCAGGGAAGAGCCAGCAAATAAAATAGGCAAAGAAAAATATTGCCTTTATCAAAACTGGGACCTCCTGAAAACGGGTTTTATTTAAATAGGTTTCTATTCATGTTGCTTAGGCGAGTGTGTTCAGGGATGATAATTTATAGCATAAACAGCATGAATTTTTTTTCTGTAAACAAAGAATATTCCTGGCTCACACAATACAACATTGTACCACATGAGCTATTGCCAAGTATCAGTGGAAAATGTAATTTAAAATACATTTATTTTGGTGCAAAAAATATTTTTCAAACCCATGCAAAGCTTTTTTAATAACATACATTTTTCACAAAGATTTTGAAGATCTTGTGCATGGATTTCAATTTTTTTTAGTACTAAAGTAAACTTACCTATTCAGTTTTTAACTTTTTCAAATTTTTTTCTTGTGCATGGATTTTTTTTAGCATCAAGATAAATTTATCCACTCATTTTTCAACTCTTTCAAAACTTTTTGAGGTACTTCTGTATTTTTTTATTGTAATAGTACTTTTATCAAGTTTGTGCTTTTGAAATCAGACTGTATCAAAAAGCAAATGAAACATCTAATCTTGGCATCTTCAGCTTCACAAATTAAATCGCTGAAATGTCTTGCAACCTCAGCATTGTAAGAAGTGGCTTCACTGTTATTCCACAATGACTCTAGCTGCTCAGTCACAGGAAACAGCACATCACCAACACTGTCCATGATGTCAGTGGCCAGGCCAGTCAAAGCACTACATTGTTCGTATCAGCCCCACTCAGGCCTCCTGCCTGTTGCCTCCCTCCTGCTCCAAGCTCTGGCCAACACAGAGGCAAACGGGCAGCTCTCACCTTCTTGCATGGAGCAACAAGAGACAATGCATGAGACACAGAAGAAAGCTGGTGTTGGAATTGTAGGTGGCAAAGATCGTGTCCCAGTGTTCCTGCAGAAAGGTCAGGATGCTGAGAAGGTCCAGGCATTCGGAGAGGGACTGCTGGGGCCTGGACAGGCAGTACAGAATGACTCTATTCAGACTGCTGTACAAAGTGCTGACGATAGTGTCCCGTTGGGTCGAGGCGTTCTCGATGACCTGTGCCGAGACAGAGGCAACACACAGCTGTGATCGTTCTGCACGTGTTGGATACTTGACTCAGTTCACCACAAAAATGGAACAACTGGAAAATGGCATGATCTGAAACTCAAGTGAGAATAGTTCCTTCACTTCTGAGCTTTAAAAAACTAAAGGAAGAAAAGAGAGGAAGGAAGCAAGGGAAGGAAGGAAGAAAGGAAGGAAGGAAGGAAGGAAGGAAGGAAGGAAGGAAGGAAGGAAGGAAGGAAGGAAGGAAATGAGGGAGGGAGGTAGGAATGAAGGAAACACAAACAAGAAAGATTTATTTCTTTTTTTGAAAGGCAGAGTTAGACAGAGAAAGAGATCTTTCATGTGCTGGTCTAGTCCCCAGATGGCCACAGTGTCCAGAGCAGCACCAGGTTGAAGCCAGGAGCCTGGAATCTCACCTAGGTCTCCCATGTGGGTTGGCAAGGACCCAAGCACTTGGGCCATCCTCTACTGCCTTCTAGGCACATGGTGTATGAAGCTGGATAGCAAATGGATTAGCTGTCCTATGAACTGGTGTTCCTATGGATTGCCGTTGCCGCAGGTGGTGGCTTAACCCACTGTGCCTCTTGGCTTTAAGTGAATAATCCACCAAGGCAATTTTGATTCCAAGTAGTCACTTGTGTGGAAAGTAATTAGGAGTTCACCCCTATCATATAATGAAAACTGAACTTGAGCAGCAGAGTTTGAAATGCTGGGTATATTGTGGGTATTCTGTAGATGAGAACACACTACTAGTCTAAAAACAAGTCTAGGGCCCGGCGCGGTGGCGCAAGTGGTTAAAGGTCCTCGCCTTGCACGCCCGGGATCCCATATGGGCGCCGGTTCTAATCCCGGCAGCCCCGCTTCCCTTCCAGCTCCCTGCTTGTGGCCTGGGAAAGCAGTCGAGGACGGCCCAAAGCTTTGGGAACCTGCACCCGCGTGGGAGACCCGGAAGAGGCTCCTGGCTTCGGATCGGCATAGTATCGGCCCGTTGCGCTCACTTGGGGAGTGAATCATCGGACGGAAGATCTTCCTCTCTGTCTCTCCTCTCTGTATATCCGCCTTTCCAATGAAAAAATAATAAAAATAAATCTTTAAAAAAAAAATAAAAACAAGTCTAAAGTCAAGTCTAAAAACAGGCTTTGCAAGAGAAACATCTGGTGTGTGTATGACATCTGAGGTATTGTGCTAATTTTTTTCACAGATCTGCAGTGATTGCCTCATGTACCTATCATGTAAAGATTCTGTGGACACTGTACGGTAGACCCCCAGGCCACCGCACTTTAGGGATAAAAGGCTGAGTAGATGATTTGCCGGGGGTTAGCCCACATGGACACCTGAACCCTAGCCCTTCTGCACTCTATAGGGCCTGGGCTCCGTGGATCTGAGACCAGAAAGGTCTGAGAAGGAGAGGTACCACATGCTCATTTGTGCCTTTCACATGGACCGGCCCAGGATGCTGTTTGGCATCAGTGGAAACGAGTCATTAAACACACATCACGCCCCGTCTCTTACTCTAGAAGAAGGGCCCTTTGTGACTTGCAGGTGTATAAGTCAGAGCATCATGAGCAAGGCAGGTGTTCCTGGTGAGAAAGTTCAGCTTGGCCAGCCTGCTGGGGGCTGGGGACCACATTCTTATCCACCCTTGTGCTCCCCTCATCACACGGGTGGCATCTTCCAGACTCAGGTTACATGTTCTGGGAGGCAGAAGCAGGAGCGGAGGATGGTGGGGCTAGGGATGCTGAGGGCCCTGGGGGCAGGGGGGCTGGCATGCCTTCCCCCTGGGCCTGGTGCTGGAGTTAGCTCTGAGTCAGTTTCAAACACAGGGACCTCAGAGCTTCCCAGCATTTCTCCGTGCAGCTTCACAAAGAGCTGATTCTCTCCTCCTGGGAGCTGACCAACGCCAATCTCTCCTCCAGAGGTCTTTCCTAAGGAGCCTCTGATAACGCGCCTAGACCTGCACAAGTGCAGCACCACACCATCTCTTGCCACACCGTGGCGAGCCCAGCCTGAGGGCAGAGCGGGGCTGTTCTCCCAGGTGAGTAGAGGGAAGCGGGTAGTGTCCTTGGCTCTGATGCAAGGGCTGCTTTCAGGGCTTGCTGTAGGTAGATCCAGGCTTATGTCCCAGTGCACTCCTTGTCATGGGGAGAGTTCAAGCCAAGGTCACATGCAGGCTGTCAGGAAAGATCTCTAGAAGGCAACAGGGTCCCTTTCATCTCCAGGCTGCTGAGGTTCTGTGTGTGTGTGTGTGTGTGTGTGTGTGTGTGTGTACTCACATGCATGCCCATGTCTAAATTTCAAGAGTGGATCTCCAGACTGGTGCCTTGGACAACTGGCTAATCCTCCACCTCTAAGTGCCAGCATCCCATATGGGCTCTGGTTCATGTCCCAGTTGTTCTTCTTCCAATTCAGCTTCTTGCTTATGGCCTGGGAAAACAGTAGAGGCTAACCCAATGCCTTGGGAATCTGCAGCCACATGGGAGACCAGAAGAAGCTCCTGCTGCTGGCTTCAGATTGACTCAACTGTGTCTATTGTGGCCATTTGGTGGAAGATATTTCTGTCTTTCTTTCTCTGTAAATCTGCCTTTCCAATAAGAATAAATCTTAAAAAAAAAAAAAAGAGAATGGATCTCTAGGCAAGCTTTGGCCTGTTGGGTATGCATGTGGACCTATTTGGGGAGAGAGGGAAAAGGACAAAAGAGAAAAAGAGAGGGGGTGAGGATATGACAATAAAGCTATGAAATCAAAATAGACTCCTGACTCAACCTCTAGGAGGCACAGACACAGCAGGTGGAGGAGGGTTGCAGAGAAGAAAATGAAACAAATGGGAGACAAAGATCGTGGTGACTCTTGTTTCTCATCCAGGGCAAACCAGCCATCACAATAAAGCTCCGAGGAGAGGCAGTGGAGGCTGGGAGGGTATAGGGTTCCAGGCAAGTGCAAAGGGGTGGGAGGAGGAGGCTCCAGGGCACTGGGAAGGACCTCACCAGGCCTGGGGGAGAGCCCTCTAGGGTGGGCAATAGTTGCCAAGGGTGCCCTGGGCAGTGCCTCCAGCTGTGCCTGAGCCCCTAAAAGTCTTCGTCAGCGAGGGGTGCAGGTACAGCCAGAGTCGTGGACAACAGCTGCAAGCGTGTGGAACACAGGCTCTGTTGAGCGGAGGGAGGTCTCTTACCACCATGATGTGCTCCGTGATGAAGAGAAGGATGTGCCTGGGGTCTGCAGAGAACATCCCATTGTACAGCTTCTCCACCAGCTTCTGGGTGAAGTAGGAGATGTTTGCGAGGGAGGGAGCTGCGGTAGCTTCAGTGCTCAGCTGAGGCTCTTTATTGCCTGGGGTGAGTGAGATGGGGAGACAGACTCATGTCACTCCAATCTCCAAGCCCCTCTTAGCAACCAACCACGTTGTTTATATCTATGCATCCCACTGATGGAGCCTTGGGCTTAGCAGGTGCCCAGTGAACGTACAACAATTCAAACTAAACTGGTCTTGAATACACCAGGTGGTGGCAGTCTGGGATGAGGAGGAGGGAATATTTAATGTCTTGAGATGGACAGAAAGGCATGGTGGTGATCCAAGTTCCCACTGTCACGTTGGGTGGAGAATAAAGTCAGAGTGTCCATGATCTGTCCTTGTTTACCTGTGCTCAGCTGTGTTTGCGTGTGCACATGTGTGAAACCCAACCTAAGCCCTGCAACAACCCTACTCATCCACAGGTCTCTTTTCTGGCCTGTGCACCTGCCCCCATCTAGCAGCCAACGCTAGAAGTGAAACTGCCAAGCCCGAATGCACCTGCTCTGTGACTCTCCCATGTGGCAGATGCTCCCCATTCCAGCAAAGACAGCAAGATCTGTGTTTTCACATCACCAAGAAGGAGGAGGAAGGAGAAAGGAGGATGGTCCCCCTGGCTCAGATACAACAGGAAGGATTTTATTTCACCTCGTCAAAGGGGCACAGCTGCCCTGGAACCATGGTTTAGGATCACTTATTTATTTTTCATGTATTCAAGAGGCTTGGAGAGAGAGAGAGAGAGAGAGAGAGAGAGAGAGAGAGAGAGAGAGACTGGAATAGGGAGAGAGACTGCTGTTCACATCTGTTGGTTCACTCCCCAAATGCCTGCAACAACTAGTGCTGGACCAGGCTGAAGCCAGGAGCCAGAAACTTAATCCACATCTCCCATATGAACGAAAAGAACTCAATGACTTGAGCTGTCTTCTGCTGCCTCCCAGGGGCTCCATTAGCAGGAAGTTGTAGTCAGGAGCTCTAGGCAGACATTGAACCCCAATACTTCAATGTGGGATGCAGGCAACCCAACCAGCACCCTAACTGCTAAGCCAAACGCCCACCCCTGTAATGAAGTCTGGTGAAGGGAGTCTTTGTGTTCAACTCTGAGTGGCTATCCTCCTCTGGGTTCCTCTGTATTAGAAACATTTGCTGTGCACGTGTTCTCTGCCCAGGCATCGGTGCTGAGCAGGTGCTTTCAGCAGTCTAGGTTCCCCTATGCGGAAAGGTCACGTTTCGACTGGAGCTGGAGAAAGGCCCATTTCCAGCCACAAGAGACTTCCTGTCTCTGAGTGGCCCCACAACCACAGGGGTGTGTGCCAAGGGAGCTGCTGCCCCATGCCCTCCCAGAGCATCTGGGCCAGGCTCAGTGAGTTCTTATTGCACATGAGTGTAGTGGGGCAGAGGAGGGGGGAGGGCAGCATCCCACTGCCGAGGGCCACAGCCGACAGGTGTGCAGCAGTCTTGCTTGGCTGTCGGCTACTGCGCAGTGGGGTACACTCACCTCTGAGCGCTGGCGCGTTGTCCATACTCATCAAGTGGAATATCTCCATGGTGGAGAGCAGAACCTCGCACTGGAAGTCTCGCTTCTGGTAGCTGCTCATGTTTTCAGGAGAAGCCTGGCAGTGGAGTTGGGCACTGAGACAGCAGCAGCAGCATGGTCTTTGGACCCCTTTCCTCGCTGGCCCCTGCTTCCCACTACCTGACCGGAGGACTGACTCGGCAGCTGCCATGCATGTGGTCAGCTGGCAGCTCACAGCCACCCTCTTGTTCCCTGGGGAGCCCACAGCAATGGTCACCTGGCACCTGCCTTCCTGTGGGTAGCCCACAGGGATGTGGATGACCCAGAAGCCCTTGCTGTGGGAGTGGACTCCAGCTGAGACCACTCTGGGCAACCTTCCCCTGTCCCTCTTTCTCCCTTCTGGCATCTGTTCAGAGCACCCTCCTAGTCGATCCTTATGTAACTGCTGACCCACCATGGACTGTATGCAGTACCCAGACTCTACCTGGTACCCATGCACACTTGAGGTCCCAGGAGACAGTCTCCACCACTTGCCAGCCAGCATTTCAGGTTCCCTGGACCTTCCCTTCTCTTGTTTGACTGTGCCCTCCCAGGGTCCACTCCCACAGCACACCAGCACCCCTGGCTTACCTCCAGGAGCACCTCTAGCGGCAGCCACTGTTTGGGACTGGGAGCTCCGAGCAGCGCCTCCCTCAGCAGGAGTTGCAGGAACTCCCTCAGCTGCCTCCGGCTGGGATGGGACTTGGCTGGAACCTGGGGACCCTCTGCAGCACTATCACCATCAGCTGTGGCCCCGGGACTGCTGGCACTCCAGGGGGCCTCAGCTATGGCTCCCTGAAAGACAAGAAGATGCTGAGCTGTGCACCTGCTCCTCCCACAGCTCTCTGCACCGTTCTCTTTCAACGTCCATGCAGAGGATGACCGCTGTACCCTTTCACAGGTGCACGGGAAATGGATGCTTGCTGGAGGAGGACGGCTTGCCAGGAGGCCTGCCGACTTATAAAGGTGGCTGCTGTGATCTGAGAGGCCGAGATAGCCCCATATTGGTCACAGGAGCCCGTGTCGCTGAGTTAGAGAGGCCTGTGACGCCCAGAGAGGGTCAGCGAGGTCACATCAAACCTGCATACCTCACTGGCCACAACGTAAGGTCTCACACGGGAACTGCAAACACCACTTGGTGGACCAGGCGGGGGCTGCACCTGGGAGCTGGTTTCCACCTTGCAGGGCAGGCCCCACCTTGGCCTTCTGAGTAGACCCGCCTGATGTCCACAGAGTATTGTCACTCCCAATGGCAGAACAAAGGCGTGTCCCTTCCTCAAACCCTCCAAGCGCTTTGGTAACGACTTCCTGCATTGATTAAGAAGGATGTTGGTTCTCTCTGAGACAGGGGCCATCACCCCAGACATATCCAGTGTGTGTGGGGGAGGGCGGAGGGTGACACGGAGCAGTGGCTGAATGACACACCCAAGGACACACAGCAACCAGGACCTCTGATCCCCAGCCGGGAAGCTGTTCGTGCACGTTCAACCATCAGCACCTCCCTTTGCTCATTCATAAAATTAATGCAGCCATTCTTAATTAAGCCATAAAGCGCATTTAATAGCTCCGAGGGAGGTGGCAGCTGCATTAATTAGCTCCTCACGGCCTTAACTGGGAAGATGCCAGGCAAATACACAGCAAACCCAAGTTTTGGCTCCTGGCCTTTGGCGTGCATGGGGCCCATCAAATTTTCTAGCCTGGAGCTGGAAAGAAGTCAGAAGGAGTGGAGAAAGAGGAGAGCCCCTGGACTGGGAGTTAGGAGCCCACGATGGGGCTCTTGCTGGCTCTGGAGGTGAGCTAGGGGCAGAGCCTTGCTGTGAGTAGAAACCTGGAACCACCGTGGGAGAGAGAGGTGTGGGTTTGAGCATGTACCACGGCTGTGGGCAGCGGCACTGGGCTTTAATTCAACAGGTGCCACGCCTGGCCTCTGGGCATGTGGGCTGAGGTGGGCATTTGGGTCGAATGTCCAAGCACGCATGCACTGCAGGGCCCTAGCCCCCCACAGAAGACCTGCTAGGGGAACGGTGAGCATGGTCTATAGGATTGCCTTTCCCATCCCCACCTGGCCCAGGGCCCAGCCTGCCTGCAGCTCCTACCACCCAGAACTGCTGCATGCAGCTGGCAGCCTTCTTCTGCTCTTAAGTGATGCTTTACTTATTCTGACTTTCCTGGGAAGTCACCTGAGTTGCTACTAACCCACCAAAATGGTTCAAAATCATTTTTCTCTATTTTGCAAATATCCAAGTCTTTACATTGGTCCTTTTTCTTAGGGTTGATCACAGTCATCCCTCTCAGTATTTATGGAAGGGTTCGACTGCAGAAGCCCCAACAGGTACCAAAATCTGCAGATATTCAAGTCTTACTGTGAAATGACATGGTGTTTGTACAGACCCTGACTAACCTGGTCGCACATGCACTAGGTCATTCTAGACTATTCACAGCACTTAGTACAAGGTAAGTGCAATGTAAGGACTTGTGACACTGTGTTATTTAGGAAATAGTGATAAGAACAGAGCATGGCTGCTAAACCATCATCTATAATGCCAGCATCCAACATGGCTCTGGCTGCTCCACTTCCGATCCAGCTCCCTGCTAATGCACCTGGGAAAGCAGCAGAAAATGGCCCAGGTGCTGGGGCTCCTGAGCCCACATGGGAGACTCAAAGAAGCTCCTGGTCTCAGCTTTGGCCTGGCCCAGTCCTGGTTGTTGTGGCCATTTGAGCGAATGGAAGATCTCTCCACATCTCTTCCTCTCTCTGTGTAACCCTTTCTAATAAATAAATAAATCTGATATATGTGTATATGCAAGGACAAATCCTGTGTCAGTTTAGTGCAGGTGCGGTTTTCCCATCGGGGGTTGGTGGAGTCTGCATGTGCAGAGGGCACAGGTATGAAGGGCAGTTTGTGGCTATGCCCCTTGCTAACCATGGGAAGGGTGGCACAGTCCACACTCTCACCCCCCCTTGGGCTTAGGGGACATCTTTGGGTTACCTAAAGCACCATGACTCAGGATGCATGTGTCCCAGGAGTTCAGAAATTGGAGGCTCTCACCATGCAGGCAGCTTGTGGGGAGGTTGGCTAGGAGAGCATGCCCACTGATTCATTTACAGGGCAACTACTCCATGCCTGACCCTGTGCATTCTCTCTCTCTCTCTCTCTCTCTCTCTCTCTCTCTCTCACTCACACACACACACACACACACACACACACACACACACACACACACACAATGGCTGCCTTCCAGCTTTGTTCCTTTGCCCATGGTCCCTGAATTGCAGCACACATGACAAGGTCCCTCTCCACATCTCTGCTTCCTGTCCCACCCATATGGGCTGCACACCTGCCTCTCCACCCTTCCTTCTACACCATCATCTCCCACTCGGCCCTCCCCTCCTCCTCCCTCAGCACTCGGATGAAAACCCCTGCAGCCTTGCCCAAGCTCCTTCTCTAACCCCTGCAGCATACAAGGCCCTATACCTTCTCCTCACACCCACGCTGGCCCCCCTGCCCTCCCCAAGGCTGCGGCACATCCTACCTTTAGGGTTCCTGGGGGGAAGGTGACAGTGGCCAAGGTCTGCAGGAACTCGGGGGCCCGCCATGCCGGGTCCTGGGGGTAGGAGCGGTGCACGAGGCTGAGGAACTGCAGGATGCTGGTCGGGAAGGCCTGCTTCCAAGCGCCATCTCCTGCACCTGTTGAAGGCTGAGAGCACACACTGTGAGAGGCTGGGCACCCCAGCACAAGCAGTGTGGGGTCAGGGGAAGAAATTTTGTTCTCAGGACTAGACCTGGCCCCAGCCTATCCAGGTGCTGATCCAGAGGCCTCACCATGTCACCTGTGTTCTCTCAGGCAAGCCACTCATGGGCAAGACCCACCTGTCGTGGTACAGGTGGAGGTAGCTCCTCAAAAGAGTGGAGAAGCCCCCTGTGACTGATGCCAATGAATGTCCCAGTAAGGAAAACAGAAGGAAAGCAGGTGTCTCCTTGGCAGTAGCCATAATCCTCACTAGGCTGGCACTGCTGCCACACACCTAAGTCATCACTGGGAGCCTACCTTGCCTCTTCTATCTTCCTCTTGCTAATTACTGCATGCTCTGGCTTGACTTAAGTTCTCTTCAAGCCCTCTTCATTCCCACATTCATATGTGTATGGAGGTGGAGACAGCTCATAACACAAAGGGGAGCACATGTGGGCAAAATCCCCAAGATGGCACCAGCGGCTTTCCAGAGAGATGAAGAAGCACCTGAGCTGGCAGCCTGCTCCGTGTCCCCATGCGGTGCCTCCTCTTCCATGCTATCATACAGCCAGCAGACCCTCCAATGCTGAGTAGATGCCAGCGTCACACTTTGGGACTTTCTAGTCCCATAAGTCAAACAGACTTCCACTGTTACAGCCACTGCCAACAGACTCACACAATGGTATTGCTGGGAAGCCACTGGACAAAGTCAAGATGACCCTTCCGAACTAGCCATCCTATCAGAACCTCCCCTGTGCAGCGTGGGGGCGGGGAAGGTAGGGAAGGGACAAGAAGCCCCTGGACAAAGTCAAGGTGATCCTTCCGAACTGGCCTTCTCATCGGAACCTCCCCTGCACAGGAGGGGGGCCAGGAGGATGGGGTCTCACCTGGCTCATGGTAACCTTGAGCATCTGCAGGAGCAGCAGTGCGCCCTCTATGCACAGACCGGCCCGGAGCACATCCTCTTGCTGGTGTTTCTGCAGGAGCCACTGAAGCATGGCATCGAGGTCATCCTGGAGGAAGAGGCAGGGGCCATGAGGGGACCTGCAGCTGGGCAGGGAGGGGACCGGCTTTGCTGCTGGTGTGTTGCATTGCCCCGAGGGAAAAGTGAAAAATAATCACAACTTTTGAGGGGTTCAGGTCGTCTGAAAAGTCCAGAGCAGTGGGGGTGCATAAAGGAAACACACAGCTCTAAGCAGGTGCTGTAGACCCACAAATAGATCATGGGAGGTTGTTTCTTTCGGCCTTGACATCACAAGCAGGCATCATCTTGCTGAGCTGTACAGGCCACCTGGGCGAATGAGATCATATAAGACTTGGGAAGAAGTTTTCAGAAAGCCAGCAGAAGGAGTCCTGAGCACTGGGGCTTGGAACCAAGGCCCCTGACTCTGCCCTGACATTATTTGGGTTCAAGCCAGCTCTTCTGCCTCCTGGCAGCTCAGCCTCCTCTGCGCAATGAAAATTACATTATGAGCCCTGGGAACTATTTGAATATCAAGTGACGTAAAGCACATAAAAGCCCTGCCTGCAGTGCCAACAACCTGTAAGGGTGCCAGTGCAAGTCCTGGCTGCTCCCTTCCCTATCCAGCTCCCTGCTAATGGCCTTTTGGGTAAACAGTGGAAGATGGCCCAAAGTCTTGGACCTCTGCACCTATGTAGGAGACCCCCCAGCAGAAACTCCAGACTCCTAGTTTTACATTGACTCATCTCTGACTGTTGTGGCCATTTGGGGAGTGGACCAGCAGATGAAAGATATCTCTCTGTGTCTCTTCCTCTCTTTCTATGAATCTACCATTCAAAGAAAACGAAATCTTTTTTTCAGAAAATACCTAAATCCTCTCTCACAGGTCCTGATACTTAGCTGGCATTACAGGTGTTTTCTTCCTGAAAAACATCCCTAAAAGAGAACTAACAGTGCAGCCTCCCAGTGACCATAGCAGACTATCTCCAGAACTTTGAAATGTGACCTACAGTGCTATATGTGTGTATCGAGGTAGAGATCTGTGGGAAAATGATACGCAAGAGAGGTGTCATTTTTAGTCTCCTCTCTGCAAGCCTGCAACGCAGGTCAGTCGAACTCAAAACCAAGAAGCAATTCCCAAGTCCGTTCTCGAGCAGGTGTTTGGGAAGGCATATGCAAAGGTGGAGGTCTGTTGCTTTGGGTGCTTGGTACATAAAGAGGCAGGCAAACATGCCAACCTGTGGGTGCTGTGCACAGTAAAGCTAGACTGAGGCCGAAGGAGGAAATGGTTCCCCTTGTCTAACAGAGCTAAGCAGGAGGTGCCATCGGAGCTTGGTACTAGGCGACTGATAGCAGAAAGTCAGGCCTCGGGTTGGGCTGGGAGGGTGCTGGTCTTAGGGGAGAGGGGATCCAGAAAAGTGATAGCGTGAAGGTCAAGTGAGATGGGAGCTGGGCTGGAGAGACAAGTCGGGCACCCAGTGGTGAAGGAACTTGATGCTGATTGTGGTTTGCAAGCAGATCCTACTGGAATAGAAGGTCACAAAGACTTGTAATTGGGGCAAAGGAGTGAGAGGGTACAGATGGCACAGTGGGGAGCACAGGGAGCAGCCCTCTCTTTGGAGAGATTTGGCCAAGGAAGGACAGGGAAGTGACCAGGAGTGCTGCAGCGTGTCCATTAGGGGCGCTCTCTAGTTGTAAGCGGGAGCAGTGCAACAGACTTGGGATGGAAGCAGAGTGCAAACTTCAGCACGAGGCCATCCTGGGCAGAAGCGGGGATACTCGGGGACCAGCGTTTCCCAGCAACAGTAGGGAGAGCAGGTGGAAGAGGGGGGCTCCCAGGACGTGAGGGTGCTGGTGCTGGCACCAAGGCAGTGCTGCCCCCACGCTGAAATCCCCCAAAAGGAGAAAATCTTGGAAGAGATACCTGCCAGGAACTATGAGGGGAGGCAGAGGCCATGGGTGCTGACAGGGCAGGGCGGGGTGGGACTGAGAGAGAAGGCAGCTGGTTAGGACAGGATCAGCGAAGTTACCTGGGGTGCGTCTGTCAGCTCTGCCACTGGCATCTGCAGGAAGAAGGCACACATGATGAGGTGGACTTCTGGGATGTGCACGTGGTGCTCCAGGAAGTCACTCAAGGCGCGGAACCCAGGGAGCAGGCAGGGGGGCTGGTCGGACGGCGGAGGGTGGCTCTTCAGGTTGTCTGTTGGGTAGAGGAGGCACAATGGACAACATTGGTTTCTGCTTCTGGCCAATGGGGCACAGGATACGGTGGGGAGGCCCTGTCACCTGCCTGTGCCATAGAAACCTTAACTAGAAGTGCATGTTCCCAGGGGAGTAGCGCACAATGAAGGGCTCCAAAGTTCCTTTCCCTGTTCCTGGTAGGAGCTTATTCACTTATTCATTCATTCATTCATTCATTAACAGGTGCTCACTAAATATCTACCAATCACGAAGCAAGACGGCAGCTATGCATTGGGCTCTGAGGATGTCGAGTTTCCACAAAACAGAATTCCAGGCCTTCACAAAGTTTACACTGGAATAAGGGGGGTGAGGGTGCAGCAGCCATTAAGCCAGCGAATGCTCAAATATGTACTCAGAGGGAAAAATAACCAGGACACAGAGCGCCTAACAGAAGGGTCCTCATTCAGGCAGGATTCTTCCCCTCCTAGGGGAAGTGGTATCAAACCAAGAGCTAAAGGAGGAATTCACACCCACTGGCGGAAGGCCTGCCTGGATGAGGAAGCGGTGTGGCAAGTGCCCAAGAGACCACGGTAAAGAGCCTTTGAGGAAGGGAACACTAATGGAAAGTGAGATCCTGCCATGGAAGTCAGGGGAGTACTTGGAGTCAAGGGTCAAGGTGCTGTCAGGGTAACAGGCTGCAGGTGTCAGGGCTGGCTTGTTCCTGTCTCCGGCATGGAATCAGAGTGTCTCCCGGTTTCCTGACAATGTCAGTATGCTCACCCATCATGACATGCACACCCTCGGAGCTGCGTTCCACCCAGCAGCCCATGGGCAGGCCGTCCTTAAACCTCCCACGAAGAGCGGGGCTGGACAGGAAGTGTAGCAGTAGCTTCAGGGCCAGCACCGTGGTGCTGGGGTGCAGGTGGCCCTGCAGGAGCAGCAGGAACCAGTCAGGCCCCAGGCTCAGGAACGTCTCTTCCTTCAACCTAAGGGGAGGCAACCACAGCGACAGATTAGCTCTCCACCCACGAGCGAGCAAGAGACCTGTCTAGAAACGCCACCTGGGAACAGCCAAGTAAGGGCAGCATTTGGCTGTCACTTAGCAACCTTCACATTGCCTTCTAAAAGAACAGTGAAGTGAAACAAGGGCAAGATGGCTGCACAGTGGAAGAACTGTCCACAAATGGCTGCGGCTTAAGTGGACTACAGCTTTTCAAAGCCAGGAGGAAATTGTGGATAAAAGTGTCCCCAACGTTCGGAATTCAACTTCACTTTCATCCTACTTTACATAACGTAGGTATAGCCTTCCACCTGATTCGATTGCCCTTAGTACAATCATACTGCTTGTTCACCTCCTTCAAAAAAGACACTAGTCAAAATTCATCTAAGATGGATAGTCCCATATTTATGCATCTTTATCCACCTAGGTAACAACAACAACAAAATATGACAAACTATCCCTTCTAAAGAGACTGCAGATTTGTGGAAGGGGTGAAGGAGATGGAGGGCAGAAAGACAGGTTACTGATTCAATGAGATGATGGCTCAGCAAAGGGTTTGGACTGTTGGGAGCCAGGGGAGGGCCAGCTGTGCTGGGCAATGTCCTCATCTGCAGCTCGTAGTCAGGATGATGTCCCCTGGAACAAGTGCTGCCCGAGCTGTGGAGGGACTGTCCTCTTTTCAAGCCCCGCCTCTGGCGTTTACTAACTGGATGACCTTGGTGGGAGCTCCTGACATGCTGTCGTCATTACTCTCAGGGGAAATGATGGTAATGATGGTGATGTTGGTGATAATGATGGTGGTGTTGGTGGTGGAGGTGATGGTGATGATGGTCGTGGTGATGATGGTGACAATGTTGGTGGTGATGGTGGTAGTGGTGATGATGATATTGGTGGTAATATTGATTGTGGTGATGATAATGATGATGGTGGTGGTGGTGTTGATGGTAGCAGTAATGATAGGAACTAGTTTATAGAGGATTTGAAGTAACCAAAGCACCATTTTCAGGGCTAGGTTATATACTCATATAAGCTCATCCTTCCGGCAGCCATCTATAGAAGCTACTTATTTTATTGTCTTATGGATGAAGAGAATTAAATATGAATTGAGTAGGTTCAAATCCTACATCTAGGATTTGAACATCAAAGATTTTGAGGCCTGGACGGGTGCTTGAACACAATACTGTTTCCTCTCAAACAGATGAGACAAGAAGGGGCAGGGCCAAGTCATCTCCAAGGGGGCCTTCCAGCTCTGCCAGGTTTGTTTCTAGGAATGTCAAGACTCACTGACTGGAAACCTCATGAACACTCTATGAGGCTGCTTCACCCAAACACATAAAAACGTAAACTCAGCAACACCAAGGAGCTGGGCTGTCTCACCCACTGGTGCATCTTGGGAGCCAAGAGGACTGTGGCATACAGCAGGTGCTCCACAAATGCTATTGAACCTTGACTTCCAGTTGGATATAAACCAGACATGCTGTAGGGAACAGGCTATACAGAATCTGCTTTATACTCAGAGTTAATTTTCAAAGTTAAACAAAGAAAGATTCATACCCCACCTCCTTGGCTAACTTGAAAAGTAACCATGTTCACCAACAGTAACTAGCAGAATGAGTTGGCAAGTCTTTTTCCTTTAGAGCTGTTCCCTAGGCTAACTATTTCTCTACTCTGTCATCTGCCAAGTGCAGAGCATCAAAATCTGTCTTTGTTGCAGCTGCCAAAACAGTAACAGTTACACTACAGCATGGGGACTAAGGAGTCCACTGTGATGGTGCCAGAACGGTGCCCTGCTACTCAGGCCCAGTTCACATTTGCATCAGAATATCTCAGGGCAAGGTCTGGTTTATTGAGTGGAAAGAAAAGAAAGTCATTTTCCTTTCCATAAATGCAGGAGACGCATGGTAGCAAACAGACTCGGGTAGCTGAACTTTTCATTAAGAGAAGGTTCTCATACTGTACCCTGTTTGAGGCAGTCCTTACGCCAAATCGCTCTTCCTGGAGCTACTTACTCTGAAGACAGATGTAGTAGGGGGGATGATATTACACTGAGCAGCATCTCCAACAACTGGTTCCTCAGCCAGATTGTCTTTCCAGATGTTTGGCTTCCAGCTACAAGAAAAATTCAAATTTGAAAGAAAAAATGGATGGAGAGAGGCATAACATTTTGTTGCTGTAAGCGATCGTCATAACAAAAGGAAGAGTTCACCCAGGGACTGGGACACAGATGGGATTCAAAATGGCGACATTCGATTCCAGACTTCAGTACGAGGCTCAGCAAGAATCCTAGGACATGCTCTGCAAATCCTCTTCAACTGCAAGGGTCATTTATGTGCTCATCCCCGAAAGAAAAAAGATGCCAAGAACGATATAGGCAAGAGTATCTCCAAGTAGAAGGTCTGTGTTTGATGTTCATAGGCAGTAACATTTCAGAAGCACCTACTATGGGGCTGGTATAGTATGGGTCCCTGGGAGCAGAGCAACCAAGACAGCAGCCTTGTTTGTCTTGGTTCCTGCTTCTACATGGCTTCCAGCCTAGGCCTTGCTTAGGTCTACATGACCTTGAACTTGACTCATAACAGAACTGCATGAGGGTATTTCAACAAGCTCATAGAAAGGGAAATTAAAGTTATATGGAAGTGCCACAATTCTGAGATTCATGCAGCTTTTACAAAATGTGCATTTTTTCACATAAACTTTCTTTACATAAATGAGTGTCTTTGGGCAGGGGGCTGGGAGGCACCAATATGAACTGGTCTCCTGGTTCTGTTTTCCGTGTGCATTTTGAACTCCCCTTGTGCAGATCCAGTGGCAAAAGACATATGCAATGCTTTACCACATTTGGTTAGGTCCCAGCATCAGAGCAAAGTCCATATGAGAAGGCAGGTTGGTGAAACTAGCTCACTGCTGGCCCATTGCCCAGGAACCCATGGCTTAGGCTCCCAGTGTTTAGAAAATCAATTCAGAGCATGTAAGCCATGTTGCAGGCAAAGAATGGATGAGGCAGCTTGGAGAAGCGGAGTCAGGACTAAAATCCTAATCTCATTGAGACTATGTTTTCTCATCTGAAAAGAAATGGGAACAGTGGGGGGCTGGCACCGTAGCATAGCCCACTAAGCCGCCACTCACAGCGCTGGCATCCCATTTGGGTGCTGTTTCATGACCCAGCTGCTCAACTTCTGTCCCAGCTCCCTGCTAATAATCTGGGAAAACAGAAGAGGTCAAATCCTTGGGCCCCTGCACCAATTGGGACATCTGAAAGAAACTCTTGGCTTCAGATCTGCCCGGCTCCAATCATTGTTACCATTTGTGGAGTGAAATGGAAAATCTCTCTTTCTCTGTCTCTCCTCTCTCTGGAAGTGTGTCCTTCAAATAAAATAAATCTTTCTAAAACTTGAGACTAGGGACCTACACCTTTGAGGATCAATCTAAGGATACAAAACAATACAACAGATCCCCCATTGAGCAATGCTGACCAAGAGGACGCTTGGTTGATGGTCAGACTGCTATTTTGATGACCCCTGTCCCAGGTACCTACCGAGTGCTTAGAGTGACCAGTGGGAGGAATTAGATGTTTTACTAGCATTGAATTCCAAGTTAATTAAATGTGACATAGGAGTGGTTCCATGTGGCTGAGGGCTCCTGTCTCAGACCAGTTGCTTTGGTTTGCGACCCACAGCTTGGTAAGCCATGCAGGGCCCAAGACAGAGTCGTGCTTGTCACGCCCTGACCCTGACCTGATGGAGGGACTGTGCCGAGAGGCAGAGCTGCTGCTCTGTGCATGGTGGGGAAAGCAGGTAACTCAAAGATCTGAGTCACAGATCGGGACAATTGGCTCGGGTGCTGACGGGGAGGAAGATTAGAATCGTGGAAGAAGTGACTTGATCTGCTTGAGTGAGGCTAGTAGCAGGGAGGACAGTGCTGGGCGGAGCCACACAGGCAGCACATGGGTGAAGGGCACGCCGTGGCACACAGGGGCCTCCCAGCGCTTCTCAGCTCACGTGGAAAGGCAAGAGCCAAAGCACAAAGAGTGGATCCCACCTGCGTGTGCTCTCCGCTGGGAAACTGGCTTCATCCCAGAGGCCTCAAAACCATCCCAGGTCTTGGCTCAGGAATACCCAGTTGGGTCTGGTGTGTGACCCACAGCTTGGTAAGCACTGCTCAGCTGGGGTGTCTTCCCTGCCTGTACCTCAGCCCCACCTGCTTTTCTCTTCCTCCTTCTGCACAAAGTGCATCTCTATCTCTCCAGTAACAGGTGGGCTCACCAGGCACGGAAGGGTCCCAGGCTCTGTCCACGCAGCTCTGCCTCTCATTCACGGATGATGGCTTGAGGGTGTAGATAACAAACAGGCCGATCCTTTAACCGAGAGAGAGAGAGAGAGAGAGAGAGAGAGAGAGAGAGAGAGAGGCATTCAGCTGGGGGCCTGCTCCCAGACCTCTCCCACGGTGAAGCCCCCCAGTGAGAGTCAACCAGGAGTCAGCATATTTCCAAATGCAGGGTTTCTAGAGACTTCCAGGAACCATTAGAGAAACTAGCTCTGGCAGATCAGTGTGTAGAAGAGATGAGGGAAGAAAAGGTTAGGGGTGCTGCCAGTTGAGACTGCCCTTTGGGAAGCCTTCAGGGGGAGGGGACAGACAGAATGTCACCTGCTGCCCAGAAATTCCGGGGCGCAGGAAGGGTGTCTGGGCACCAGGGGGCAATAAACACTTGGCCTTAGTGGAGACACCTACCAACCAGCAAACCCACTTCTCCTGAGGTTTCCACCCTAGCAGAAAGAAGTTTCCAGAAGGCTTCAAGTGATGCTGGCTGGGTGGAATGTGGTCAGAAGTGAAGCGGGGTGAAGTACCTGAGCACGTCTTGGATGCTGAAGTAGCTCCTCAGCTGAGAGCCCAGGATGGCAATGACCTTGGGGATCCTGCAGGGGCTGAGGTTCGGCTCATTGAAGAGGAAGACAAGCTTGGGTATGAGCCGTGCCTGGTGGGCAGCTTCAGCATTCTTGGGTCCTTCCCTGGCAAGCCCAGGAAAACGTTAATTAAATATATATATAATATATATTTATTATGTATAAATATATAATATATCTAATATATATTATATAATTATATATATCTAACCTATATAATTATATAATAATATATATCTAATATATATAATATTTATTTATATTATATATATATATAAAAGCTTCTATTGAAATGAACCAAATCTGCTATGTTTCTGTCCAAAAGCCTTTCCAAGCTGAGCTTGTCCACTGGCCTTCTTGGCAACTGGTCAAGACACTGTCAGATGCCCTTCAGACAAGAGTTGGCTGGCACAGCTGGCAGTTTCTTCCACTCCCCACCCCACCTTTCAGTCTGCCCCACCCTGGAAACCACCTTCAAAGACAAAGCTGGGTTATTGACTGTTGCATTTGGAGCCCCAGGGAGGACTAATGCCTCAGGAAACACACAACAAAGACAGCAGACACGCCCGGGACCCAGGAGTGCTTCCCCACAGGCAGGGCGCAGGGGCCTGTCTGTGTGTGTGATCTTCCTGCCCACCCCAAACCACAAAGTGGAGACAGATGCTGCTGATAGTCAAAGAGGGGGAGAGACAGGGCCCAAGGACTCCTAACCTCCACTTTAGGGTAATTACAGCTCTGATTTCCAGTAAATTCCAGTCCCTGACTCCCCCCAGCAGAGAAAACTGCTCCCAAAGTAAATGTCCATTTGGTATAAAACAACAGGTACCCACACAGGAGGCAGAAAGCGGGAGTGTGGGAGGGGGTGGCGGGTGGATCATGACGGAGAGGGTTGGGGGCTTCCGGCTGTCCTTGAGGCTTCTCGGGTTCAAGCGCACAGTGTCCTTTCCTCTCAGCACCCTGCCTGTCTCTCCTTGGATTTCCAGCACTAAACATGGGCTGTGGAGTGTCCACATTAGCTATTCAGTAAGAAGGGCCTGAATGAGAAGGTGTTTACACAGAGAAAGGTTCGGAAAAAAAAAAAAAAAAAGCTGTGGCCAATGAATGAAATGAGAAGATGAATTTACGGGCCAGCTTTGGGATGCAACAGGTGCAGTTACCACTTGCAAAGCTGGTATCCCGTGTGTAGCTACTGCTCCAAGTCCCGGCTGCTCTGTTTTCTGCTCCAGCTCCCTGTTAGCACGCCTGGGAAATCCGCAGAGGATGGCAAGTGCTTGGGTCCCTGCCATGCACATGGGAAACCTAGAGGGAGCTCCTGGACCCTGACTTTAGCCTATCCCAGGTCTCGCCATTGCAGCCAATTGGGGAGAGATGGAAGATCTCTCTCCCCGCTCTTTGTAATTCTGTCTTTCAAATAATCAGACAGACAAGTTTAAAAAGAAGTAAATGAACAAATTTTTATTTTTTTAAAAAAGGATATATGTGTTTAGCATAAAAATGTTGAAATTCGGGCACCTAAAATGCAGCTCCTGTGTACTGATTACGGAACCCCCACATGTGTAGATTTCAAATTTTTCCACCCCCCAAAATAGACATCTTTTAAAGCCATCTGCCAGGAACTCTTTCAAGTCCCTTTGTGTACTGAATATACCTGCAGTTGACACTCCCCAGGCTAACAGATGGAGTGATAACCTCGGCTACTCTATTCTGTCTCCCTTCTCCCTTTATTCTGATCCAAGCCGCTGGTTTGCTCTGGGAATTACCTTTCTCTAACTGCCTTCTACCCACTCTGGAGGTAGATCCCATTTGCCACCAGCACATGCTCTTGGCTTGGCCAAAGGACACAAGCTGGCCAGGTGAGACTCAAATTCTGTGATTAGGACTGTGCAGTGACCATGCAAAGTGAGCATGTGTCTGAGCTGCCTGGAGAAACACCTGCTGAAAAGAAGCATTGGCCAGGACAGGTAACAGAGTACCAACTAACGGGAGCGCATCCTTTCCCACGGCTCATGCACACTGGGCAGGTCTGCCTTTGATGGTATTGCATTGAGAGAGAGCAGGTGCCGGGGCTTTGCAGACTAGCACCGTGCAGGGGGCCTCAGCAAAGGAATGCACTGCTGCTCTGCCATCCTGTGGACCCAGGGTTCTGGGAGCTGGGGGAGACTACAGTCCCTACCCTTGATAGGAAGACTTTGGCGCTAGGCCTGGAGCTGCTGTTACACAGCCTACCTCGGTGATTGCAGAATCTCCGCAAGATGGGAAAAGAGGGCAAGCTCCAGGTTGTCGGTGGTGTTCATCCAGAGCTGGAAGACAGCAAAAAAGTATCAGTGCGCACAGGAAGAAAGGCTGCAGGCTGTGTGAGCCGGTCAAGTGCGCCACACATTACCCTCCAGCCTGGAACCACCCACGTGACTTGCCAGCTCTGAAATCGGCTTGTTCTCCTTACACCTAGGATGTAGACATCACCTCCCCGTAAAGAAAGGCTAGGCGTGTTCCGTCCCTCACCTGCTGCCTGGCACTTCACTGTGGGTCTAGACGGCAACCAAGGATCTGCATTCTCTGACTCCCGAATCTGTCCAGCCCTAGGCACATCATGGCCTATGCATCCACATTCTACAGTGGGATGTCTGCACTTACCATGCAAATGCCAGTGTTCCCACTTCACAGATGAGAGAAGGCAGACCATTTGAGAAACAGGTCCCATTTGCCACCAGCACATGCTAGGGCCAGACACAGAAGCCAAGTCTCATCTTCCGGATTTTATTCTCTCTCACCTATGCCTTGACCCTGCTGTGCTTGCAATTCTTTCTCAGTGCCCTCAATTATAAAACCTGTATCCAGTCCATCTCACCTTCTCCTGCATGCCACAAACAGGTGATGTGAGACACACTGAATTCTGGGGGTGGCACTGATCACTCAACGTGTTTCCATTCAGAGTCAACAAAATTGAGAGCCAAACCAGGGCACTGGGGCAGGGTCGATGTTGGGCCTTTGTGCTTTATGGCCACTTCTGAGAGTGTCAATTCTTTTCCTCTCTAAATAGCGACAACTCTTCAAAGAGAGACAGAGATTTGTTTTTACTGGAAAGGAAGATTTACAGAGAGAAGGAGGAAAGACCTTCTATCTGCTGGTTCATTTCCCAAATAGTTGCAATGACTGGAGCTGAGCTGATCTAAAGCCAGGAGCCAGGAGCTTCTTCCTGGTCTCCCACTTGGGTTAAGTAAGGTTCCATTGGACCATTCTCTGCTACTTTCCCAGGCCATAAGAGGGAGCTGAATGAGAAGGGGAGCAGCTGGGACAAGAACCAGCACCCACATAGAATGCTGGCACTAGCACGTATAGGATTAACCAGTAGAGCCATCATGCTGGCCCCAATGTTGACAACACAGAATGTAGAAGATTTGAAAACAAAGTTATGGAAGTGCATTCACCTGGTTGTAAAAACAGCTTGCACTTTGAACAGATACAACAAGAGGCATACAGAGACCCACAGTCACTACCTGCATTTTGTGGAGTGAGGCCAGAGGGAACAGGTTACTTTTCCTAGTTGGAAGAGATACTCAAAGCAGGTGCATCTGACCCGGCAGCTGATGCTCTAGCCTGTACTGTGGGTCCCCCAAGGCTTCTCCTACAGTGTGATCCCTGAGGCCCCAAATCACCCTCACTTGAAACCAAACTTATCAAGAGGCCCATGAAGGCCAGGTTCATCCCTCTACAAACCCCAGAGCCCAGCAGCACACACGCCACATGGCAGGGACTGCATAAGGAAGACAAAATCAGCCCAAGTGAAGTAAGTGCATTGCCCTTCTGTTAGCAGCAGATTGATGGCATTGTCACTGCATAAAGGAACACGTAGAGATGGGCCAGCTGCTCTTAGGGACACCTGGCATGGGCTAATGTGGCTCCAGGAGAGGTTGGGGAAGCCAAGCATGGCACCCCAACAGAGAACTCCGTGAGCCCTGCCTGCTTGGAGTAGTCACTATGCAGTGGGTCCTTCAGCAAACTACTGCAGGTCTAGTGCTGTGAGTGGAGAGGACTGAGAAAGTCAGGCCCAAACCTATCAACCCCAGTAATGGGAACCCCCTGACTATTCCTGCAAACGTATCCAGCTGCCCACTCCCGTTTCCTTCCAGAACATTGGAAATTACCTCTAGAAATTACATAATATCAAATATTGAAAAGTAAGGAAACAGGAAAATTGAAGACTTTGGGCTACGATCTGTGCCATGTAACCTTGTGCTAAGGGCCGCACTGAGATGCCTGGGTCGGATGAGAATACCACAAGGACGATGTATCAAATATTGCTTCCCCCTACGCCATTCTGCGATCTCCTCCTTCTCAGAAATAAGCTGGTCTCTCCAAAAGCTGGTCTCTACCTTCTTTAAGAAACCAAAATCTAGGGGCTCAGCATGGTAGCCTTGCAACTAAAGTTCTCATCTAACATGCACCAGGATCCCATATGGACCAGTTATTGTCCCATGGGTCCACTTCCCATCCAGCTCCCTGCTTGTGGCCTGGGAAAGCAGTCGAGGATGGCCTATGTGGGAGACCCAGAAGAGGCTCCTGGCTCTTGGCTTCGGATCAGCGCAGTTCCAGCCATTGTGGCCGCTTGGGAAGTGAATCAGTGGATGGAAGATCTTCCTCTCTGTCTCTCCTCTCTATGTATCTGACTTTCTAATAAAAATAAATCTAAAAACAAAAAAAAGAGAGTGGTAAGAAAATGGAGGAGGGGGAGAGGGAGAGAGAGAGAGATTCCACCTAACGGTTCACTCCCCAAATACCCACAACAACTCTGTCTGGACCAGGGTCATAGTCAGGTGCCAGGAGCTCCATCTGGGTCTCCCATGCACATGGCAGGAATCCAAGCACTTTAACCATTTTCTGCCACCTCTCAGGCACATGAGCAGGAAGCTGGAATGGAATTGGAGTTGGACTCCATCTAGAACACTCTGATATGTGCTGTGAGCACCCCACACAGCAGTTGAACCCCCTGGGCCATAATGCCACCCAGGACTGTGGGATCTAGTACAATGTATTAGGTGGTTATGAGATCCTTTGAACTTTTTTAAAGTTCTTTTTGAGTCAGATTTGGAAACAGATGTCCAGGAAGATTATTCAAACGAGTGACATGTTCTAGCTTCCTAGCATCAGCAGCGTTTCTTCCCTTTCCTTCCCAATATTAGTTTCTTAATTTATGCATTTTTGCCTTCTCTCACTCGGTCAATCTTAACAAAAGTGTATCTATTTTATGAGAACCAACAATTGTTCATGATGATTTTTTTTCTCTTCTCTATTTTATTGATTAGCATTCCCCCCTTTAACTTCTCTTCCTTCTTTTTTTCAGTGTTGTTTTTGTTGACTCATTCTAACCTTTTGATCAAGGAGCTCTGTATGTGAAACAGGTCCTTCTTTCTAGTATGCCCACTGGTGAGTACACGTTTCCTTCTTAGTCCCTGCAGCAGCAACCCAATGGTGTTTGAATATGTAGCCTTACCCTTGCCAATCAATAATTTAAATTTAGGAGTCCTGGGGCTGCCAACATGGCTCACAGGTTAAGCTACCACCTTTTACTCTCACATCTCATCTTGGCGCCCCTCTGAATCTTAGCAGCTCCACTTTGCATCCAGCTCCCTGCTAATGTACCTGAGAAAACAGTAAAGAATGGTCCAAATGCATGGGCCCCTGCACCCGCATGGGAGGCCCAGATGAAGCCCCTGACTCCTGGTTTTAGCTTGGCCCATTCCTGGTTGGTCTTGTCATATGAGGAATGAACCAGCAGTTGGAAGATCTATGTGTGTGTGTGTATGTGTGTGTGTATCCCTCTCTCTGTAACTCTACCTTTCAAATGTAAAAATAAAATTTTAAAAAAAATTGATACACTTGAGATTTCTTCATTGGCCCTGTTCATCAATCCTCTAGCATTTCTCCAAACCCAACCTGGATTTCTACAACAATCCTATGGTCGATCTTTCTGAGTTAGGCTTCTTGCCACTGGAGGAAAAGGCCTCAAAGAAATTCTAACAATATTTTTCAGTCAACTTCCTTAGATAACAGCAGTCTGGCAAAACTTGTCAGCACTTGAAAAACTGCAATGGTTCCATCCCCATCAATCAACTGTGATCATTTACTCTAAAGAAATGTTTTGAAAGTGAGGACAACACAGACACGGAAGGACCATTTCTAACAGCATTCACAGCAACAAAATACAGGAATCCTTTAAACATTTAGTAATGGAGGCAACGTGAATACGGCAGGAAAAATTAAACGAGAGAATGCTATTGCGGCCTCAGAACGACGCTGGTACGTGTTTGCAAGGAAAAGTCTTATAGATGTGTTTGTGGTTTGAGGAGGAAAGGTCCTTAAATAGTTTCTAGAGCATGAACCTAGGTATGTGCTAAACATAGAGAGAAAGTACTAGAAGACAGGTACATCTAAATCCCACAGTAGCTTGAAATAGGAGGCTTCTCTTGCACGTCTCTTAATCTAGAGTCAGTTCCCTCCCCCTTATCCTTCACCTCTGAGGCTGTGAACTTGACCAACTACAGACTGGAAATGTTGTCCTTGAAAATACATGTACTACTCAATGTGATTGACAACTGCTGTTTCTGTACCGGACACTGATTTTTCTCAGCATTCTTTCCTCTAATAACAAGTCACGTTGCATCGGGTAAGGAAGGGCGTAGAAATGACGTCAGACACACCAGAGCAGGCGTGTAGGTTGTAGGCCAATACTCCTGCTTTACGTAAAGAACTTGAGCAGCTGCAGACTCAGGGAGAAAAGGGAGTATATTCTATAAGCTCACACTTAATGTTTAGGAAATAAACTGTTTTAAAAATACATCCACAGATCTCAACACCTCCAGGCCGAAGCATGGACCGTGCAGCTGAACCCCTCCAGCTGGTCTTCCCTTCCTGTCCTTTCAGCCAGCACAAAGCACTAAGCCACTTGTTCTGAAACCCCATGGCTCCTGTCCAACTGAGCGTGACTGCAAGTTACGCCCCGTCACTGAAAGGCTCTGTGCCCAAGGACTGCCTCTAGCCTTGGCCCCAGAATTCACGGCCACCAGGCCTGAACTGACTGTTCTCTCACTGCCACTCTTCAGGGGTCCTGTTCCTGCCTGCCCTTGGCACCTGGCTCATCTGGCTATGGGTTCTGGGAGTCTCCCTATCCCCAGTGAGCACTCAGGAGGTGAGGCTGTTGTGTGTAATATGGGCTCATATGTTCAGAGCAATTCCTTGTGAAACTCCTCGCTGACCCTCCGGCATGCTAGCGGGTAGCTCTCAAGTCACCCTGTGAAAGGATGGCCTGGAGAAGCCAGGGACCACCCAAAGGAAATGGAATGCATGTTATAAACCCTTCTATGGGGGCTTGGCTTGTGCCATAGTGAGCTAAACCACCACATTGCAATGCCGGCACCCTAGATGCAAGTGCTGGTTGGAATCGCAGCTATTCTTCTGGAGTTTCTGCTCCAGCTTGCGCTCACACTCCTGGGAAGGCAGCAGATGATGGTCCATGTGCATGGGAGATCCAGGTGAAGCCCTTGGTTCCTGTCTTCCTTTGGCCCTTGTGGTGGCCATCTGGGGAGTGGACCAGCAGAAGACAATCTCTTTCTCTCTCTCTCTTTCTGTCACTCGGCCTTATTACATAAGCAGATACATAAATAAATAAGCCTTCAAACACATTAGGTACTCTGCACTTTCAAATTCCTGCCTGGAACTCTGGTTAACTTCCACAACAGTCTGTGAGGACAAGGTGATCATCTGTGTTCCAAGTATAAGAGTGAGGATCAGAAAGGTGGAAAGAGTTGTCTAAAGCCACACAGCAAAAAAAAAAAAAAGGTGGCAGGATTTGATTATAAACTAAGGTGCCTGGTCCCCTAAAGCACCTGTGCTTTTCCCAACCACTTTCTTCATGTCTGTTGACAAAGTGGAACTACTAGATTATTTCTCTCTCTCTCTCTCAACACACACACACACACGCACACACATACTCGAAGAGCTAACAAGGCCCATTCTCAGTCTACCTCGAAATTGCAGATAATGTTCTGGAAGACACCAAAGTTGGTGATGGCGGAAGACTTGAAGCCCAGCTCCGCGGTGCCCGTGACTGCGAGGATCAGCTGGAAAATTCGGTGGTTGAGGAGAGAGGTCTTCTTCCGCAGGAGAAACGCCAGGATCTGAGATGTCAAGAACACAGAGCGACATCCTTACAATCACACTCTTCCTCCCACATCTGCCCCATGCCACCAGCACCTTTGGTCCAGCGTGGCCTGGGGACCTCCTGCTCTCTGAGGTCACCACCATCCTTCCTTTCTACGTTCTCAGAGGAAAAACACCAGCTTCCGAGCCTGCCCCTCTGCTGGCACCCACCCCACACGGCCGTGTGACCCAACCTCTCCCTTGGAGCTTCTGCTTCTCACAGCCTCTCCTGTGTCCCCCACTGCTCTTTCTTGCGGTAGTCCTTGAGGCCTTTAATGTGACCCCCAACTATCAGCGTTACTGAAGGATCAGAAAGTTCCCACTGAGACGGAGCTACTCACACCGTCATTCTTTCAGCCCAGACCTGAGACACCAGTGATGGCTGTTGCATGGATGCATTCCCAGACAGGGACCCTGGGATCCTAGCACTTGGCTCCATGGCCCAAACCCATCTTGGAGGCTGGGGTGACACCTCCTACCAAGTGTCAAGTCTGTGTGTTAACTGGCGTCACATCAAAATCAGGCTGCCCACAAAGTGGCCATCTGACCTAGTAGAGAAGATGCTGATTAAGACAACAAAGATGCCCGTGTCCCATGTCAGACTACCTGGATTCAGGTCCCACATCTGACTCCTGACCCCAGCTTCCTGCTAGTTCACACCCTAGCAGGAGGCAGCACTGAGGGTGCTAGTACTTGGGTCCCCAACATCCACATAGAAGACCTGAATTAAGTTTCTGAGTCCCAGCTTTAACCTGGCCCAGCAGGTGCTTGAGGAGTGAACAAGCAAATCAGCAGCAGTTCTCTTCTCTCTCTGCCTCTTAAATACTTTTTTTTTTTAAGATTTATTTACTTTTATTGGAAAGGCAGGCTTGCAGAGAGAAGGAGATATAGAGAGATCTTCCATCCTCTGGTTCACTCCCCAGGTGGTCGTATTAGGAAGAACTGAGTCAATCCGAAGCCAGGAACTAGGAGCTTCTTCCGGGTCTACCACATGGGTGCGGGGTCCCAAGGTCTTGGGCTGTTCTCTACTGCTTTCCCAGGCCACAAGCAGGGAGCTGGATGGGAAGTAGAGCAGCCAGAACACAAACCAACACCCATTTGGGATCCTGGCACTTGCAAGGCAAGGATTTAACCACTGAGCCATTGTGCCAGATTCCTCTTAAATACTTTTATAAGTTTGTTTTAGTTAGGCCGTCCAACTGTCCTCATCCACCTCGAGCTGATTCTCAGAGCGCAGTTCCCTCTCCCGGGGGGCTCCCAGGGCCCAGTGTGTTTCCTAAGGAAGACTTGCTTGAGGTCAGCGGATATGCTCTCTTTTCTGGCTGTTCCTCTACCTGCATTTTGTTGTTGTTGTTGTTGTTAATTCTGCCCCCTCTTCTACCAAGACAAGGTTAGGAATGAAAACTGCCCAAGAAAAGTCGCACACTCAGGCAGACTACTTTGGCCTTTACAAGGCTCAAATACTTGCCACCCAAGGGAGATACACCCGAGTTCCAGGCTCCTTACTCCAGCCTGGTCCAGCGCCAGCTGTTGCAGGCATTGGGCCAATGGCCCAGTGGATGTAAGATCCCTTTTTTCCTCTGCCTTCCAAATCAAATGAGAATCACAATAATAATAACAGTGATAGAGTTAACAAGAGGCTATTTCCAACCACTTATTCAAACCCAACTGCAAGTCTTTATTTACACAAAACTATCTAATCCTCATTGTAACCTACCGGGGCCAGAGGCCTGACAGCTTGTAACTTACAGGTGGCTAAACTGAGACAGCAAGTCAGGAAAAAAAGCAGGATTTCAAGTGAAGCAATCTGGCCCTGTGGCCTAGCCTCTTAGCAGAGATTATCATGCAGAGGAAAGCAGGAGACCAGAAAGGAATCTGGAATTCAACACAGAAAGTTCCAGAACTCAAACAAGTGAGCTCCCCATCCAAAACGAAGCCCTCAGAACTGGCTGGTCCTGGCCCTCCTCTGGGGTCCCCCGGCAGTGGGGGAGTTTGGGGACCCTTTCAGCCTTCCATTCTACAGAAGTCACCCTGTGGAAGGTCACAGGGCAAATGCAGCTGCTCTAGTTCCTGGGGAGTGACCTGTCCCAGGCTTGGGCAAGAAGGCGGCATTACCTGGTACCCGCAGATATGTTGCATCAGACGGTCACACATGGCATTGCTGGTGAGGACCGAGTGCAGGACCTTCACAGCTGCGTACATGGTATGGTCATCTGTCGCCAAGGAGATGAGGCCCAGGAAGATGGCAGGCCCACCGATGAAGTCCAAGCTGCTGGCGGCAGGACTGCAGTGGAACACCCTGACCCCTGCGGGCATAGTGGGCACACCTGTCAGGACATTATGGCCTGCTTGCAACAGGAGGCCACCAGCTATGTACAAGAAGGGGCAAGCTGCCTGTGCCAATGGTCACCTACAGCCAAGCACGTCCTGTGCCCTGGGAAGGGTTGGTTACAAGGGGAGGGGCCTGTGAAAGTCATGGGCAGCAAGAACCCCATGCTGGGCGTTGCTGGGGTCATCAGTAGGGGAATGAAGCCACCTCCCTTTGTCTCGAATACAGAGTGACCAGATGCTACCCGAAACCTCAGCTTCTGGATGGTTCTGGGGACCTCTGACACTTGGTGGCCTCACTGGTCCTCCTGGACTGGCTCTTTCACACAGGCTCACTGCCTTGCTGCTGGCCACCAGCAGCTTTCATTCAATCAATCACTGCCTTGGCTCACAAGCACCTGTGCTGCCCAGAAAGAAGCCACCATGGCCAGGGGCTGCGTTCACTGTCCATACCAACTCTCCATCTGCCTTAGCTCCCAACCCTGGTGCTCCCCGTGCCCACCCCCAGCACGCTGCCCTCCTGCTTGCCGCCAGAATCAGGAAGGTCTACCAACCCTTTGTGCCCTATATACCCCAAGAGTAAAGTTTTGTGGCCTGACCCACCTAACTGGCCCACAACCACGGCACCAATGGTTCGAAGACAACCCGGGAGGTGGCCAGCACAGTTTCTCATCAAGAAGACGGGTGTGGCATGGTCACGGGCTGAAGTGTTCATCTGGAGAAATGAGCAACAATCAGTGTCCAGAAACCCTGTGACGGGAGAGTCCCCGGTGCCCACGTGCCACCTCCAAGACATGTGCCGCCCACTGCACAGTTTCAGTGAAGGAGTTTGTGTAGTTCACGGGGCAGGTCAGTGAGCACAGGAAGTTCCCACAGATACTTCGAGATGAAGCAATGCTGCTAAAGGAGGGTGATGTTGTCCAAAGCGAGCGTTGGCCAGGCTGTGCAACATGGCTGCCACTGCCTTCAGGGGGACAGGGTGTCCGGATCCTAGGATCCTCCAGCAGCAAGCCATAGCTTAGAACCTGACCCAACCAGGCCCACACCTCCTAAGCTCCGTAAGAAGGTGGCTTGTGCCCAGGAGGGTGAAGAGAATGTGCCCGAGTCAGCCCCAAATCCTTCACTGAGCAAGCAGGATCTTCACAGCAGAGTCAGGAAGCTGGCATGCTAACGGCATCCTCATAGATAAGTGATGCTGTCTTTCAAGCATTTGTCAAATAATAGTAATAATAATAATAATAACAAGGGTGGACAGCATGGTGACAGAGCAAATCAGGCTGTGCCTGTGATACCGACATCCAGGGGAACACCAGTTTGAATCCCAACTGCTCCATTTCCAATCAAGCTTCCTGCTAATGCGCCTGGGAAGGCAGTGGAGGATGGCCCAAGCGCTTGGGGCCTTGCTACCCACATGGGAGACCCACATGGAATTTCTGGCTTCCCATGGCAGCCTGACCCAGTCCTGGCCATTGTAGCCATGTGGATGAAGCCAATGGATGGAAGATCTCTCTGTCTTTCCTTCACTTTAACTCTGCCTTTCAAACAGGTAAGATAAATCATTCCAAAGATCACAACAACTCAAAGAATACTTTGCAGTGTGACTGGATCATGAATACCCAGGCAGAGGGAAATTCAACCATCTTCTCTATGTCACAGAGAGATCTAAAACCTCCCACCAGAGCTGGCATTGTGGCATAGCACGCGAAGCCATCACTTACAATACTGGCATCCCATATGGGTGTTGGCTCTCTCTCTCTCTTTCTCTCCCCCTTTGCAACACTGACTTTTCAAATAAATAAATATATCTTTACAGAAATAAAACAAAACAAAAACCCTCTGACGCTTTTTGCATTACCGTGAAAAGCACCTGCCTTCTTTACTGAGCAACGATTAAAAAATAAGAAAGTTTTAGTCTTGGGGGATGTTTATGAACTGTAGAGGCATAGGACATTGTGCTACACCAACTGGGAAGCATGCATGTGTGTGTGTCCATCTACACAGGAGCATGAAGACTGAGGCAAGCCAAAAGACCGAAGTGCCAGCACACGGCAGCATGGACAGCAGGCAGCCGCACCTCCTTGGCGATCAGGCGGCTGTCCACCTCATTGTAGGTACTTCTGATGTCCACTATGCTGGTGGTGGAGGAGCTGGCGACATGCAGTCCAAAGGAAATCCTTTCCTCTGCAACCAGAGGAACGGCCTCTCCGTCTAGGTCCTCTCCTGAAACAATACACCTTGAATCAGAGCTGGTCTCCCTTTGCAGGGAACAGCATGCGCCCTCAGAGGATGAAGCAAGGAGGCACCTGCAGTGCTGTATGCCATATGCGGCATAGCTTGCATTTACTCCACCCATGCTTCCCTGATGCTTAAGGAAAGCTCTCGGGGAGATATGCCAAGACTGGCCCAACTATCAAATAAAGACATTCCATATGCAAAATGATCAGAGTTTAAATCAGCTTATCAGGGCCCACATTGAGGTAGAACAAGTTAAACCATGGACCACAATACTAGCATCCCATAGGATCACTGGTTCAAGTCCTGGTTGTTCCACTTCCAATCCAGCTTTCTGCTAATGCTCCTGGGAAAGTAGCAGAAGATGGCCCAAGTGTGTGGACCCCTGTCACTCAATGCAGAATCCCAAATGGAGTTTCTGGCTTTTGGCTCTTGGCTTTGGTCTGGCTCAACCCTGGCCATTTGGGGAGTCCATCTATCAACCTTGGGATATCTCTCTTACCTTCTCTCTCTAACTCTGCTTTTCAATTGAGTCAATAAAGCTTTTTTTTTTTTTTAATGATCAGTTATACAGACTCCTTATCTCTCTAAAACAAAGAGGCTAAGTGACAAGGAAGCTGCCCTATCAAAGGCAAGTCAGCTGGGCTGAAAGGACCCAGATTGTCAAGAGCTGTGTAGGGGTTGAGGAACGTATGGCTCGGGAGGAACACACAGGGCCCCAGAGCCGTGTCGTGGGTGAGGAAGTGTGGCACTGGCTCAGGGTCTGGGAGAACTTTGCCTGCAGGCCCAACCCTGCAAGAGGAAATGGGAATTCAAAGAAGGCCTGGGCTTGGAAACAGGCGCCCTGAGCCATGCCCGATGCTTGCTGACCACACATCAAACCCCCACGTACAGATGCATTTATCCTGCTTCCCAGTGGGGAGCTGACCCCCTGCCTATGAGGGAGTCCAGAGAGCCTGCCTCCCTGCTGTAACAGCCGGCAATCAATAGGGAAGAGGTGGAGGTTTTGTCTGCCTGTTTAATAATTGAAGACAACAGTGTACTTTAGTTAAAAAGCTGCTTCATTAAGAGGAATGTAACTTATTTATCTTCTTCTCTTCTCCCTCTTGCTGACGGCCTGACCCATTAGGTGGCTTGGAGGGAAGATGGAAAGGATATTGTCATTTCCTTTGCTGTGACATTCTCCATCGGGTTGTCAATGCATGATGAGCTGATGGCAGGGGTCTTTCCTAATGACTGACCTGTGCCGAGCTGCTTCTTTATAAAGATGCTATAAACAACGGGATATCCACATTGGAACTAATATCAGTCGGGATATGATAAATCAAGACACTCCAAACCTTGGGTGTGCACGGCTTGGAAGTTCCCGCAGTACCGTGGGCCCAGTCTGATAATATCTTCCAGGGTTCCTATTGAGATGGCTTCTTCAAACAGATAGGTAGGGCCAAGCCTCCAGACTAGCGAGGACTTCTGCCTCCAGAGCTGAGGCGTAGAGATATAACCATACACATCGACGAATGAGGATGGGTCCATGGAAACGAAAGGCCCTGGGAAGGCCTGGATGTACAGCATCTGTTAAAAGAAAACCAGTCAGAGGCTGAGTGGTGCTGAGCCTCAGGGCTAATCAAGTCCACGCCCAGTGAACCCATGAGTTGCTCTGCATCAGCGGCTCAAAAAATAAAATGTAAAAAATGTAAAAGATGACTCTGAATAGTAGGCAGCAAAAAAAAAAAAAACATATAAAATGCTAGTGGGAATAAAGCAAATTGTATGTCTGGAGTCAAATTTGATAAGAAATATTGAGACACAAAAGTCCATCTTTGTCCTCAAACACGGACCGACAATTTTTTTTAAAATGCTTCTATGTAGAACTAAGTACACACCACACCACACACACACACACACACACATACAACTGGGGTTATCTGAATAAGTCGACAAATGATGGCAGTGTCCACATCTGGACTGTGGCACTGTTCTCGACTTTTGCAAGATGCAGTCACTGGAGGAAACTTGATGAAAGAGGACACAGCATTCCTAGTATTTCTTACAAGTAAATGTTAGCGCACAACAACCTGGATACAATTTCTAATAAGAAGAAAAAAATATGGAGTAACACAAATGTTAAAACAATGAGGTCAGAGCCCACTGAATATAGGTTTTTTTAAACAATGAGATGCTAAGTGAATTAATAGGCAGACAAAACTTCCTCTGCAGGGAGGTTGTGACTATTTCCGTTAATCATAAAAAGCTGAAAAACCCTAACTCTGATAAGGCCGTGGGCGTGTTGGCAATGTTCGTGCTTTCTTCCGTCTTCCAATCATTGCAATGTGTGTCCAGATCGTTTTCTGACTAGGCAATCACTGTCTATATGAATATATATATGTAAGTACATATTTCATTTTGCATCATTTCAGAAGGATTTTTCACCCTACCCATCAAATGAAATAAAAGAAAACCAAATTTTTGGCCACCCAACCTGGCTTAAGTTTTGGCTGTGTTAGCTCCACTCATCCTGGAACTTAAACTCTGAGAAGTTTTACTTTGTTCTTTCTGGTCTTTGTTTTTTTCCCCAGACTATTCTGCCTGTCCCATATCTGCCTTCTGCCCTGCTTGTGTGAACTTTTTCTAAATATGTCCTTCTTGTGCCTAGGTTCAGCCCAGTACCCTGAACTTTAAGGGAAAGAACAAGAGGTCATTAGAGACCAATGCTGCTGCCCAAAGAAAACCAGGATCCAGGACCCCTCCAGATGGGAGGGCTGGGAAGCACACACAGGTGTGATGCCAGGAACCACCTCACCTTGGCTGAGCCTGTGAGCTGTCCATCGAGGTAGGTGGAGACAGTACAATTCCTCTTCATTTCCTTGGTGACGACCACAGCCAGGTGATGCCACTGACCGCAGGCCAGCAGCTGGCCACACCGGACCTGAAGCTGCCGTCCTGCACAGGGCTCAGCGTCATCTTCAGGTTCCATGACATCTGGAAGAGAACAGGAATGCAAAACCTCACCTCGGCTGTCACCTGTTACCGTGGCCCAGTAGAGTCACAGGACCCGTAGGTGTCCTGGTCAGCCAGCATGGGCCACAAACCAGTCCTCCTCAGCCCTCATCTGACTTGATGCCAGACACAGCAGCAGCATTGTCACAAGAATCAATGCACTGAACTGTTGCCACATCCTTGTGGGATACTGCCACTGTTCTCATTTTGCCATCCTGAGGTACAGCCATGTCAGGTAACTGTGCACCAGGTGGTACAGGCAGGGTCAGGAGTCAGACCCCAGGGTCACCTGGACACTGGATTGCTTGGTGGTGATGCTCGTTTGCAGGCCACGACCTGGGTCACAGATGGCAGTCATCCTGCAATCCTCCCAGATGCCTTGCTAAGAAACAGTGACACTCTGGGACATGCAGAAGGAGCAGCAGCAGATAACCCAGAAATGATGGGCATGGCCAATTCAGGCAGATGAGCTTGGAGAACATGGGTGGAGCCAAACCTTGCCATCAACACTGCTAAGGCAGGACTGGGCTCCTGGGTGCCCTGCCAAGCGCTGGCCAACTCTCGGGGGTTGAGGCTGAGCTCCAGGGACATATCTGGGACCAGTGCAGCTCTGGTTAAATGCTATTTGTTCTCCCAGAATCTCACTCAGAAAATGACAGAGCCTGGTCCCCAGGAGGCAGCACCCTGAGGCCTGTGCCTGGCCACTCCAGAAAGGCAGAGATGAAACTCCTGGAAGGTTTCTGAGCATAACATCCGAAGCCAGGCCAAGGGCAAAGGCCTTGTCCACCTGCCAGTCATGGCCCCAGAGCCCAAGCCACAATACTGCTTAGATCTTTCACCAAGTGTGCAATTCCCAAAGCAAAGGAGTACATTTGAGTCCCCCAGACCTCTGTCTAGAGCTTCTAATACAGCTCCATTTCCCCTGAGGTGGGCAGGGCCAGCTTGGGTTCCCAGCACATTACCCAAGGGCTGGAACGCCTTCTCTTCTGTGGACACAACCAAGGACAGGTCTTCTGGGCACAGACTGATGGAGAAGCAGACGAAGGGCTGCTCGGTCCTGGCCAGGTGGCGCACCAGGGTCAGGAAGCGCAGTGGGTGGCCCTCAGCAGCTGCACCCTGCCGGCTGATCAGGAACCAGCAGGAGAAGGTCAGGCCCCCGGGAGGCGGGAATGCTCTGGCAGCACCTGCAGAGAGAGGGAAGTGACACAGCACACCTGTGGTCTTGGTCCTGCCCAGACCCCACTGAAGTTCTGCCTCAGCTGGGCCGCCGCACCTGCTGGGAGCCAGACTGTGTCTGACCTCACCTCGCCAGTTCTGCTCTCCCTGGTTCTCCCCGCTGCCTCACCAGAGGGGCAGAGGGAGTGTCAGCATTTGTGAGACGGATCACACTGGGGCCCCACTCGGGCTCTATGGGGCAGAGGATGGCCTGTCTACTTGGCTGGACTTTGGTGGAGAGGAAAGGGTTCCATCAGGCAGCAGTGTGGACCCTGGTAGGGACACTGCCCTTGCTGCACGGCCAGCATCACAGCTGCTGTCACATGGACATGGCAAGTAGGCCAGGAAGGTCAGAGGGACTTAGCACCCAGCCTCCCAAGGAAACCCGGAGCCCAGTTGTCTTCATAGGGAGTGTTGGGATCAGACAGCACTGGGCACTGGCACTGTTATCCTCAGCAGGCTTCAGTTCAAACAGGCACAGCCCAGTGCAAAGCATACCAAGCCCTTCCTGTGTCCCCACAGGGGGCACCTGTTAAGGATGAGTGGTTCTTGAGGCTATCAGCATGAAACTCACTCTTTTCTCTAGAGAGCTAGAGAGTGCTATAAGGGTGTGTGTGTGTGTGTGTGTTGAGGGGGTGCATGTCCCTTTCCACCTATACCAGTCACCAATAACTTGAGTCAAACCCAGGTTCAGGGACCAAGTCTGCTGTTAGATCCATCAGTGCTAACTGAGCCCCCAGCCATGGGCCGACCCCTTGGGACACACGATGAACAGGCCACTGCTTCTGAGGGAGACAAGCCCCAGCTTAGCAGCCCAAGAGTGACCTGTGTCTGGGTACTCGCACTTTCCTGAAACACGTGGTGGACCTGTCAGGGTACGCTACCCGAGGATGGACTGCTGGGGCAGGTGGGCAGCTAAGCTGTCTTGCATGCCTCACCTGTTCCAATCCCTCCAGAGATGGCATACTCGGTGCTGGTTCCCATAACTGTAGACAGAGTAGGAATGAACAAGCACCTGGAAACAGAAAAAAACAGTTCAGGTCACCACAGTGCCAGGCCAGCTCCCCACTGGCACAGCTGCTCTGGTCTGGAACATCTCTGCTCCCTGGCCTTCCATAAGGCCCGAGGGGTAAAAGGCAGTCAGGTGCTGGTGGGATGCCAGAAGGGGAAGAAGGCTCACAGGAGGCAGGAGAGGAGGGAGGGAAGCCTGGGCAGCTGGCTCTCCACATTTGGGGGTGTTGGCAGTGGGGAGTCACTGGCTAGAAGAGTGTCCAGAACCCAGACATCTTCCTCAACCCATTGCTGAGCCCTGACAGGAGCGACAGTTTTGTCCCCGTGTTGTCATTTTTGCTGGAGGCACTGGGAAACGAAGTAGTTTCTCCCCTCCCCCCAATATGTGAAAGCCGGCGTACCCATGGCCCTCCACGGACATGTCGAATTCCACAAACGATGGTGCCAGGGCCGCCCTCTGAGGCTGCAGGTTGCGTGGGGAGGTCATGGAGATGAGGCTCAGGGACGTCTGCAGGGCAGTGCTCCCGGTCTGGGCTGTCCTCCAGGGCCTGAGGGTCTGAGCCACTCCAGGGCCCCAGCCAGCAGCAGCTACGGCTTCTACAGGACCCTCGGTCCCTCCCGGCGCCGCAGTCTGTGCCCCTGAAAAGAGAAGATGGGCATCTTTCTTCAAAGTCCTTCCACCCCTCTTCTGGTTATGGGTGCAGGACCCTGTAAAGTCACACTTGCCTCCTAACTCTCAACTAAGGAGTCCCAGCATCCCAACCTGGTCCTTCTGCAGACTTGCACATCACTGAACTAGGGGGTTCTGGGACCCCAGCCTGGTCCTTCTGCAGACTTGCATGGCACTGAACTAGGGAGTCCTTGGACCCCAGCCTGGTCCTTCTGCAGGCTTGCATGGCACTGAATGGTGACAATAACCTTCCCATTAAAAAAATAAGTCCCTTTCCACCCAGGGTGCTCCTCTCTCCATCACACTATGCCCTGCTCCTGCCGCCAGCCTGCTCCCATCACAGCCACTCACTCACCAGGATCCTGCCTTAGCCTAGGAACCCACCTTACAGTAGCCTGTAGCTCCCACCTCTGGCTCCCCGATTCTCCACCCCCGCTTTTTAGCAGAGCCTTCTTCCTACCTTAACAGCCTGTGCAATCTCCCATTCACTCAGTACCTCCACAGTACTCTCTCCTCCCAGTTGTTCCCTCGACCAGCATCCTTGCAGGCACCAGGCCTGACCCTGGACATTGCCTATTGCTTGGGCTCTTGACAGCCTAACAACCCTGAGCTGTGAGCTGTGTGGAGCCCAGTCCCGCTGACCCGTGAAGGAAGCCCTAGCATTGATTCAGGATCTCAGGCCCAGAGGGGCTAAGCGTGTTCTCACCACCACCTGTCTTCATGGATGAGTCTCCTTTCAGGCCTGCCCTTGTGCCTGCCCTCACCGCTCTAATCCAATCTGCCCTGTGCACAGCAGACAGCACCACTTCCACATCTGCCAGCCCCTTCCCTGTGGTTGACAATCCAACCCCAGGGATCCTATTCCCCGGTCTCTCCTTTGTCCTCACCTGAGTGGTCAGGAGGTCCTTGGAGTCCAGGACATGCACTGGACATCTTCATGGTGGTTGCAGAAGCTGGGTGAATGCCGAGTCCTAGGAACTGTCTGACGAGGGGAATGCAGAAGGGAACAGGTGAAGAAGACAGTCTTCCTCGCAGAAGTTCCTTAAAAGTTCCACCCTGCCCACTCCCCTCACCATCCAGGGCTCCCTGACACCTCCACGCATCACCTGTGAGGCCTGTCTGAATTTCTGCCGCCTGGCCAGAGAGCCCCCAAGTCCAGGCATCTCAAGTTTGTCCTGTGCCACACACACTTTATCATTGTCCCAATGCCCATGGCCTCTGCGCCGGTTCCTGGGCAATCAGCAGGGTGAGTTGCAGCTGCTGTGTGCCCCTCTAGGCAGAGGAGGGTCCTCAAGAGACTCCTGTCCTCCCAGCTGCAGCCTTTCCATCCTCTATCTTCTACACCTGCCACTCCCAGCGTGCCCTCCCTCCCTGTTGGTGTTCTGCAGAAGATGGTGGTCCAAGTTCCATCCCCTCCCTGCTGGGAGGCCCTGCAGCTGCCAGTGTCCAGTCCCCTGCAGCCATAGCCTCCCTCTCTACCGCTGGCTCTTGCAGCCATGCTTTCGGCCCTTCTCTCCTCATCTAGGGAGCCACAAGCCCCTTTTCTCATGCCACCCACCCCAGAGGCTGGGGCTGCCTTGGTGTTGTGGTCACTGGCACTTCTGGTCCATGGACTTCCAGCACTTAGAGCCAGACAAGTGAGGATGGGACATCAGGACACCTGTCCCTGTAGACTCCACAGCCCACTGAGGTGACCACCCCTCTCCCCAGCTATGCACAGGGTTCAACGGTGGTCTGTCCACAGCACTCGGTACCTTAGCACATCTGGCTCGATGGCCTGGGAAGCAAGCTTTTCAAAAATCCGGATGAGGTGTGAATGCAGGGATCCACTGCCGGAGGCCAGTACCCCACGGCAGGAGGTCATAAGTACCCTGAGCATGCCTGCCTCGCACATGATCTGGCGGTTCTTCTCGAATTTCACCAGGGACTGCAGGTGGCTCGCCAGGGAACACTGGATCTCTTCCGAGAGCTGAGAGGTGACCAGAGCAAGCAGTGAGCCCTGAGGCCAGATCTGACTTTCGTGGGCTCCTGATGTGTACCAGGAACCTGTCCACTCCCATCCCATGCCTGCTGCATGCCATTCATGGCAGGGGTCCCTTTGGGAGCCCTCTGCAATCACAGCAGGGATTCCCACCCCTGGGATTCCATCAGGCCCATACAGGGGAGGAGCTGCCAGGGTCATCTGTTGCAGAGGCCAACAGATGGGGACCAGCTGGTTTACCCCTCGGATGCATCATGCTTGATTCATCCTGCTTAAAAACCCAGGCTTGGGGCCATTCTCTGAAGATGGGGAGAGTCAGGCTGGTTTAGCCTGGTGGTTAAGGTGCCCGAGGTCTGTGACAGACCTTGCCACCATGCTCCTAATTCTAGCTTCCTGCTAAGGCAGATCCTAGAATACAGCAGTCCACATGAGAGGACTGGATGAGTTCTGGACCCAAAGCTCCAGTCAAACCCAGCCCTGGCATTTGAATACTGAACCGTTGCATGGAAGCTTTTTCATTATCTCTCACTCTCGATCACCTATTTTTATCAGTTCTATCTATGTAAGGCTCTCTCCCTGTCTCTTCATCTCACACATTAATAAACAATCAATTTAAAAAAAAAAAAAGATGGGACCCAGCGCAGTGGCGCAAGTCGTTAAGGTCCTCGCCTTGCACGCCCGGGATCCCAAATGGGTGCCGGTTCTACCCCAGCAGCCCCGCTTCCCATCCAGCTCCCTGCCTGTGAACCGGGAAAGCAGTCGAGGATGGCCCAGAGCTTTGGGACCCTGCACCCGCGTGGGAGACCCAGAAGAGGCTCCTGGCTTCAGATCGTCATAGCATCAGCCGTTGTGCTCACTTGGGGAGTGAATCATCGGACAGAAGATCTTCCTCTCTGTCTCTCCTCTCTGTATATCCGCCTTTCCAATAAAAACATAATAAAAATACATCTTTTAAAAAAAAGATGAGATCTGCTTCTGTAGGTGCAGTACTGGTTTGGGGACAGTTGACACTGGATGGTGGCTGTACCTCACCTTCCATGTGCTAGGGTCCCATATGGATGGGCACCAGTTCTAATCCCGGTGCCCTGCTTCTCATCCAGCTCCCTGTCTGTGGCCTGGGAAAGCAATCAAGGATGGCCCAGGGCCATGGGACTCTGCATTCCTGTGGAAGCCCTGGGGGGGGGGGGGAGAGGCTCCCATGCGGTTGCTTGGGGAATGAGTCATCAGACGAAAGATCTCCATCTCTGTCTCTCCTCCTCTTTGTATATCTGACTTTCCATTTTTTTTTTTAAAAAAAGTATTAGCTTCTATTAAAAGCAATAATAATGAAATAAGAAGCCAGTACCATGGCATATCAGGTGTAGCTGCTACCTAGGACACCTGCATCCCATCAAGGCACCAATTCCATGCCCAGCTCTTCCAATCCAGTTCTCCACCACTGCATCCAGGAAAGTAGAGGAAGGTACTCCAAGGCCTTGAGCTTTTGCATCCACATGGAAAACCTAGAAGCAGCTCCTGGCTTCTGACTTCAGTATGACTCAGTACTGAAATTTGGCCAGCATAAAATGTCACTGGAGTGATTTGGCTGGCAAGGTTCTTCTGCCAGGGGTCACTCTTGCTGCTTAGCCAACAGGCTGGCTCCCTGGTTGTCACCGACTCGGGGGACAGGACTTACTGTCTGGAGAAGGTGATCCGCCCCCCGGGAGCCTGAGCTCTGTGGATGGACACAAGCAGACCCAGGAGAATGGAAACACCTAGTGCTAACAGCAGCAGTCACCAAGCTGTCCACTTCCGCCACTCATACTGGGGACCAGGGGTCCCTGTGGCTCATACTGTCCCTCGGCACACCAGCCCCAGCTCCACCCTCTGCTCCACTTTCCTTGAAACAGATAAGGGTCATCAATTGTCTCACCTCCAACTGTCCCTCTCCCAAGATAGTCCCTACCTTACCGAAATATCATCACCATGTCCTACCAGCATGAATCAAAGTGTCACATCTACAGCCTCCAAGCTTTCATTACCAGCACTTCCCGTGCTAATTGGGGGACTCCTGGTTTCTTTTTGCTGTTTTGTTGTTTTATTTTTGTTTTCTCTTTCCCCAACTAGAACAGGAATACTTAAGACTCTAAATATGCCAAAGAAAATAAAGAAAAAGGAAAAAAAGTTTGCAAAAGAGAGAAATGCTGATCTTGCCTAATGATGCCACAAGTTTACTCCAAAATTGCTCGATACCCCGTAATGGAGGAGGGAAAATTGATCGCCCTCATTATCACTGCGACTCTGTCGATACCAATATTGCCTTGTTTTGAATAAAATGTGCTGGGATTTTTTTTTTCAATGTTGGTTCCAGTAAAATGGGGTTTTAGTGAAAATATGAGCAATGGCAGGAAACCAGTCTGGTCTCTGCCCCCTGCAGATGGATTGATTTTCATCACGCAGATGACTGGCGAGGCAGGAAAGGGGAGAGTGGTTCAATTAGGACTCTGTAAGAGCACGAGGTCACCCTGCTGGCGGGCAGGCTGCACCCGCGAGGCGAGGGATCATGGAGCCACCCGTGTTGCACGACACAGTGGGCATCTCTGTCCAACTGCACTCGGCAGGTGAGACTTCAAGTTTGTCCTCGTCTCACCCGAGGTGTTGATTCTTTTTCTCTTTTCCCACCTTCTCTTCTGATGCACAGGAATATGGTCCCAGAGCACAAAGTGAGCTGGGCCCAGTGGGAACCGCCAAAGAGGCTGAGGACGAAGTACATCCGCCCCAGTAGCCCTTGTCCCTTTAGCCGCACATCCGGACATCAATGGGAAGACCATCAGATGTGCAGCATCTGCTGCCCTGCCTCTGAAGTCACCAGCATGTGCTGGGATTGCAATGAGTCGTGTGTTCTTCATCTAGCTGTAATGTTCTTTATTTTAATGGTTTGGACAGAGCAGAGACAGATTCAGTGTGTGGCAAGTGACTGTGGCTTGGCCAACGCTTTCTTAGAATTAGCTCTCTTTCCATGTGGCCGTGAACTCCCCATGGTGCCACAGTCCCACACCCTGAAACACGCATCTGTGCTGCTGCCATGGCCTGGTGGGTCCAGGAGTCTGTGCTGTAAAGAGAAAACTCAGCTGCCACCCAATGAGCAGAACCACAGCCAAAGGACTTGGCTTGTAACCAAGACCAAGGTGTGTGTGTGTGTGTGTGTGTGTGTGTGTGTGTGTGTGTGTGAGCGGGCAGTGCCTGCTTCCAGTCTGCTTCCTTGACAAGTGAGGCCCACAGCAACAGTCCATGCTCCCTGGAAGCTGAAGGTCGCACATAGAAAGCCTGGTTTCCCACCCTCCCCTTGTGCCCCATGGCTCTCCAGGCACAAGGACGCTTTCCCACTTGGCTGAGTGCAGCCTGCCCCTCCTGACCGATGCTCCAAGTGGGAAATGTTCATTCCAAACCCGCTGCTTTGCTGAGCTCCTACTCATTACTCAGAGATGAGTCACACAGCCCTTCATCCAAACATGCTTTTCTGATTCCCAGCCCAGCATTGCGCCCAGGTTTCTGTCATGCTAAATGCCACACTGTCACTGATTTCCATCCGTCTATCAGTCTATGTATGTAACATATATCTATATCTTCTATAGTTTATCCATCACCTCTGTATCATTTATCAATTATCTATATCATTGATCTACAGCTACCATCTTATCAGCCTCACCTCAGCCCTCCCCTACCCCTACAACACTAGAACAACGGGAATATATTCAAGGGGTACGACTCAGTGAGAAAGAGCATAGGAAACAAAGAAACTCAACACATGTCTAATTCAACATATCTAATGGGTTTAACAAAGCAAGAATCCTACTTTCCCAGTGTCTGGTGGAGGAAATAGCTCTTTCCAAATGGCCTGCCCTAGTTCAAAGCTCCCCAGGGCTATTAACACTGTCAATATTTTAGTTACTTGAAACCCATACGATGAGTCTGCTGCGTCTGAAACCCAGGCTCATTCCAGAAAATGACACCAGATTTTCCAAATGGGGGCACTGATGGGTTGACAGACACACACAGCCCTGAACCCAATCTTCTCTCCATCCCATCAGACTGTGCAGGACGTTTCCATGGCAGCAGAACCCTCAGAGCAGCCTCCTGGTCTCTGGAACGCACTGACAATGACCTGAGGTGCAGATGGAGGATGCACAGTGGTCTCCCCAGTGTCTTGTCATGGTTCCCCATAACCTCCTACACCTGCCACTTTCCTGCAGGAAAGGGTGCCTAACAGAGTGGCAGGAGGTCAGGCATATATAGTGGCAAGGCCATCAGTTGGCAAGGTTATTAATTCTGTCACTGGATTGCTTCGAGTTTCAAATCTCCTTTTGCTAAACACAAAGATTGAAATTTACCTCGCAAAATTTTTGTCAAGAAGTGATAAAATGCCCATAGGGTTTCTGGCAACCAAACCACAGCAGTCCCACCAGCTTCTCACGTCACTGCGTTCTGCATACCGCACGAAGCACCCGGTTCCCCGCAACCATGAAGAGGCAGCATTGTCATCCCCACAGCCCACAGAAGCAGCACAGGATCAGAGAGGTCAGACAACTCTCCCAGGACTCTGGAACAGCTGAGGTTTTGACCACAGAGCCTGAACTCAACAGATGTATCTCTGACAATGAGGGTGGCATTGAGGAGGATGGGAAGCAAGACAAAAAAACACAGGGGAGTCTGACTTTCAAGGCCCTTCACAACGTGCTTTGGCTGACTTCCCCAGTGCCACCCATTCACTGCATTTCCTGCCCCTAGCCTGCCTTGTTGGAGGAAACCCTGACTCCCAGCTCTTGTGCCACTGTGACTCCTCAGAGGTACCCGACAGGTGTTTTGCAGTTAGTAACAAATGCAAACACATCCCTCTTGCTGATCTCGCATGGCCTGCATTCCAGCTCTGGTTCTCCCATACTGTGGGTTAGGGCTGTCATGTGCACACATGACTACCTCCCTGCTAAGCTCTGACAGGGGCCCCAGCCCCGGAGGAAGGGTAGAGGCATTGGGGCTTGGACATCCCTCCTAATGCAAGTGGGAGGTCCAACCCACATCTACATCCCTGTCGAAAGTCCCTCATGGCTCTTCAGTGGACCAGAAAGCTATCTTTCTTTGCAAGAAGTTATTTCTTTCTGGTACCAACTCAGCTCCAAGAAAACTGAGCTAGACTCCATTTTTTTGCCTTGAACTCAGGAAAAACCCTACCACCAGCTTTTAATTCTGCCTCTGGCACCAGAGGTTGAAGGTAAGCTAGATTTTCTGCTTCCAAAAGCAGCTCCCAGGGCTTGCATCATCTTAAAAGGGAGAAACACAGCCTCCCCATCGAGGTGTGACTGGATCAAACCGAGTCCAACCACAGTGGGTAAGAAACCAGAAAAGGACACACTCAGAGGTTTACTAAAGCCGTGGTCCCTAAGATGACACCTATGCCTTGGGAGGAACAGCATGTGAGTTATGTAAACTGTGTAGGCAATCATGGAGTGTGAGGAACTGGCTAGCAGATCTAGGAATGACAGCGACTCACTTTGTATCTTTTAGTAACACTGCCATCTACTGAAATTCCCATTCCTTTGCTACACTCACACCTGCAAAAAGCCTGCAGTCATTTCTGCCTCGGCATTTTCCTGTGTGGTCTCATTTCTCATTCGATTTACTGTTCTATTCGGGCTTACAAGGATTCCCTCAACCCCCTGTTCAGAAATCAATTACTGTAATTATCCGACGTTTAATAGCTGCTGATTTAGCATCTGCGGAATCACACCAGTATGTTTCATTTGCACATTGCGCAGACACCAAGGAAGACTCAGACTCTTTCTCAATTACATATGATGACTTGAATATGGAAAAAGTATGGTGCCAAATGGAATTCTCATTTGCATACTTAATTTGTCCAACTACCCTCATGGAATGAGTGAAGAGTGGAAGTTCCCCCACACAGAAAGGTGGCAGCTCACGAGTTTTATCCAAAACCCAGGCTCATCTTGCGGAGATCGCACCTGCATTATGAGTGAGTAAAACTCACTGCCTGCTCTGTGTCACTTCAGGTGTCCCTGTTGCGGTGGATTTGTGCTGAAGGCATTGCTCAGCCACTATTTGCCCAAGAGAACTGTCTAAGCCACTGGTGTGGTCATTACCACTGCAAAGACCTTGGCTGCATTCTGTTAAGTGCAGGCAAGCAAGCCAGATGTCCTCACCAGGTGACGGCTCCTGGCAGAGTTTGTGATGGTCCTACATCAGACACAACTGGGTCCAGGTCCTGGGGCAATCGCAGAACATTCCTGAACCTCAAGCACCTGCACTTCCAAGAGCCAGTGTGGAAATGTGAGAGTCTTCTTCTCTCGGCAGAGATAACTGCAGTGGGCACAAGTTAACGCTCTACCCCAGCAAACCTTGTCTTGAATACCCAGGCAAAGAAGGCAAGCTCCCAGGTTTTGGACAACTCACTGACTAAAAGACCAAACTGCTGTGAAGAGACACTAATAAATCTAAAGTGGTCCCTTTTCCTTTCTTAAAAAAAAAAAAATGTATTCATTTGTGAAGGGCTAGAGCTTCCTTCTGCTGGTTCATCTCTCCAATAACTGCAATAGCTGGGGCTGGGAGCTGAGGACTCAGCCCAAGCCTCCCAGGTGTGTGGCAGGAATCCAGTGACTGGGGGGATCCTGACTGCCTCCAAGAGTCAGCATGAGCAGGGAGCTGGAGCCAGCAGCAAAGCTGGCAACAGAACCCAGCTGCTCTGATATCTGACCCCACTGTAGCACATTTTCCAGGTCTTCATCAACTCCAGTGTCCTTGTCTGAACTTCTGGAACATGTGTTCTGCTTGGACGGACCTAGACTCACCGCTGACCCTGTGCCTTGCTGCTGCGTGAGCCCTTGTCATCCTGGCAGTGTGCATCCATCTCTGAGGAGGTCACTCAGCCCCTCCCTTTAGACGTTCCCCGCGCCCAGCTCCTCCCCAGACGGCTTCCTCCGGTGGCACCTGTCCGCAGGCAAAGCCCCTCCTACTTGCTGTTCTCCACCAAACAAGCCTGGGACACCTTGTCAGCACAGACATACCTGTGTGTATCATTCCCACTCCCTTGAGAGAGGTATTTTGGCACCCTTGGGAAACTTCATCCCACACTGCCTGCTCAGCTCCCTTCTTTGCCCTGCACTCACTGCCTGTAGTAAGCTGCTCCCCTCTTGGTTTGTCTTCCAAGGCTCTGCTTAAACATCACCAGCTAAGAGGCAGCCTCCCTGGTCTCCACCCCATCACACCCATTTAGACTGGGTCAGGCCTGTCCCCTCTTACTTCCCTCCCATTGGCTCCCTCACCACCTTGCTTCCTCCTTACTCTCCCTCATCACTTTTGGTAACTGCATCTATTTTTGAGGATCTTTACTTTATGTAGCCACTCCCCTTCCCCCCACCTCCACCCTTACACCAAGTGCATCCTCTGTGGACAATTCCTATTTTGCCCGTTGCACTAGCCTGTATTCATTTCCTACAAGGAGCACAGGCCCAAGGCCTCAGTGGGCACCCTGGGGACTGACAAACATACAGGTGGCAAATGTCCTCCAGTCCCCCATCCCAGTGCCCAGTGCTGTGTTTAAGCACCTGAGACTCATGAAGGTTTAAGTGCTGCTTTTTTTTTTTATCTCCATAGGTTGGTTTTTTTGTTGTTGTTTTTTTTTTGGGGGGGGGGAGTTGTTTGTTTATTTGTTTGTTTTGTCCTGCTGTTGTTTCTGGAAATTCTTTAGTTAACAGAAGTTACCTGCCTTGCATGGCCCGGGAAAGGTGGTGACCACCCAATCCAGGACCCAAAACCTACTGAAGGATGGCCCCATTAGCACAGAATACTGAGGGCAACAGAACAGAAGACATTCGGGGCCACTGGGATAGGTCACAGGACAGAGACAAATTTGTCGAGAGGTACCTCTGGGTGGTCTTCATGGTACAGCCGAGGCAGCAGTCCCACCATAACACACACCATCCCAGGGTGCATGATCACAGTCTCACCTTCCTCGGTCCTGCAGAGACAAGGAAAGTGGGACTTCAACATACGCCTTGCACATCTCTTCCCTCTTTTCGCAGAACTTTCTGGATCTTTCTTTGCAGGATAGATCATGAAGCACCTTGATGACCCTGAAGGGCACCATCTGAGCTTGGTTTTCTCCAAATGGCCAGAGACATCAGCCATGCCACCCTTTCTTCCTACAGGTGTGAAACACCACCTCTTTGCACCAAGGTGCAATGCCTGGCTCCTCGTTGATGCTCAGCAGACAGGAGCGCCCTGGTCTCCGTTCCCTCCCTTCGCAGTTCATCTGGGTGATTCCTTCAGCAGTGGCAACAGCAGTGGCAGCCAGGCACAAGAAACCTCCTCAGAGCACAGGTGAAATCTCACTCATCTCCGCTCTTTTTTCTCTCCCCTAAAGGCCCAGAGACAAGGAGGGGAGTGACTGCTGGGATCCAGGGTGGACCAGGAAGAGAATGAAGAAAAAGAGGCCGAAGAGCGTATGGCCACCAGGTGGTGAGTCACCACTGAGCTCAGTTCTAACTGTGGATGAGTGGATTTTGAACCCTAACTTGGGCAAACCACCATTCAGGACTGGCTTCTGAAGGAGGCAAAACCTCTGAAAGCTGAACTAGCACTGGAACACAGCACACAGAAGGGGGCAGAAATATGCGGTCTAAACCCAGCTGTATCTGCTAGAACCAAATAAGTGATACACCCCCTATGGTGCTGCCAAGAGCCAGCGTTCCTTTGAACATCCCAGATCTCCAGGATACAACCTGACATGGCTCAACATAAAACAAACCATGGAAACACCATCATCTCACACGAGGGAAAGACAGCCAACAGATGCCCTTGCGAAAATGACACCGGACATGGACTTAATAGACAAAAATGCTTTACGTTTGTTAATAGTAAAAAAAATTAAAAAGAAAAAAAAAACTCCAAGAAAGAAAGAATCCAACAACAAAGAATAGAATGCAAATTTGGGAACTAAAAAAAAATCGTTTTTAAAAGACTCATCGAATGAAAACAACCAGAGATAGGAGAAAGAGCCCCATGGATTTGAAAATAGATCAGCAGGAATTGCCCAATCTAAATCACAAGGAGGAAAAATCTTTTTAAATGAACAAAGCTTCATACATGTGTCACAATAGCTAAAGAACTAAGGTTCCTGACACTGGAGTTTCATAGGAAGTGGAGGGAGAGTTTGATAGTGCCATACTGTTTTGATTACTGTAACGTTCTAATATCCTTTTAAAGGTTTATTTAGCAATCGATTTAAATGACAGAGTGACAGAGACCGGGAGATAGGGACAGAATGACAGAGAGTGACAGAATGCTTTCCCATATGCTAGTTCATTCTTTATTCCCAAAATGTTTGGGGAAGCTGGGAAGCCAGTGTTGTTTTGGCCCAAGCCAGAAGCTCAAAACACCATCTATGTCTACCATATGGATGGCAGGCACTCAGCTCTGGGTCATCACCTACTGCCCTCCTAGGCACATGAACAGGAGGCTAGATGAGAATCAGAGAGGCTGGGACCTGAAGGGGCGCACTGACATGAAACAGGGCATCCTAAGCAGGGCCGTAACAATGGCTCCACAACAAATACCCCAGTATTATCTTTTAAAATACAGTAGTGTGACAGTGCTTGCTTTGTTCCTTTTGCTCAGTATCGCTGTGGTTACTAAGGGTCTTTCACCGTTACACACACACACATTTTAGCAGTGTTCTTTTCTAGCTGTGTGAAACACATCCTCAGCAATTTCATAGGGTTTTCACTGAAATCACAAACCACTTTTAGCATTGTGGACGTTTCCATGACACTGATTGTTCCAATCCACGAACAACGGATGTCTTTGCAAAAGTTCGGTTGAGAAGAAAAAAAAAAAAAGTTTTGAAAATTTTCAGTCATCCTTTCTTCAAATTAAGAGAAACACACAAGCTTAAAGATTCAAGATAAAATCCAAACGAAATAAACAAAGAAGTTAATCCGCAATTAATCAACAGTTGAGCCCTGATGACAACACCTTGTGAAGGCAGCCACAGAAAGCAACACGTCGCATAGAAGGGCAACAATCCAGGTGAGTGTGGGTCTTTTCTTGAGAAAGCTGAAGGCAGAGGAACACAACAGACTTTAAGTGCTGTAAAGAAACATGAAGAACTGGGTCCCTGGGCGGCTTGGTCGTTTAGCAGGTAAAATCATAGCCTGTAATGTCGGCAGCCCACATGGACAAGGATTCCTGTATTGCCACTTCACTTACAATCCAACTCCCGGCTAATGTCCTGAGAAAAGCAGCAGCAGATGGTCCAAGTAGCCTTTGCTACTCGTGTGGGAGACCTGGATGAAGCTCCTGGCTTCAGCCTGGCCCAGTAGTGCAGGTCATTGCACCCATCTAAGGAATGAACCAATAGATGAAAGATCTCTCTAACTCTGACTTTCAAATAAACGAGTAATTTTCTTTTAAAAAATGTCATATTCAGAAAAAAAAATATCTTTCAGGAATAAATGCAAAATAAGCACAATTCTAGATGAAGGAAAAAGGATCATCTCCTATTGACAAATTTGTTGTAAAAATGATACTTTTTATTGTTCAGATCGCAGGAAAAAATAGCAAAAGGCAATTTGCTACTTGGGCTGGAGAAAGAACATTAGGAGCAATCAGTACTGAAATAAATATTATACAGCGTGTTCTCCTTTTAAGTTCTTAAACATTTGTATAATGGTTGACAACCAAATTGTATTAGACGTCTTACACACAGGACAGCATAGGGGAGGATACAGGGATTTGCCAGACTTGTAGAATCCATCTGAAGTAGTAAAATATTAATTGTAAGTCTGTTAAAAGTCAAGTATAGATATTGCAATCTTTTTTGCAAGTATTAAAATAAAGTAGCCAAAAAAAGTATAAGTGGAAAGTTCAGTAAATAAACCCAAATTAAATGCTACAACATACTTTAAAATCCCCACAGAAAGGCAGACAAAAACCAACAGGGGAACCAAAACGAGAATGCAAATAATGAAATGATAGTATTATCTAAATGTAACTACATCAATAATTTCATGAAATGATTATTAAACAGATGCCTTTGGAATAGAAAAATAAAAAAAAAAAAACAAAGATCCATGCCATCAATTAAATATAATCAGATAGATTGGTTAAGCGTAAAATGTATACCATGCTAGGACTAATCGAAAGGAAGCTAGCATTAATCCAAAGAAAGATTCTTTTACTAATATCAGAGACAGCACGCTTCTGAACAGGATAATTCCAAGGAATAAACAGATGGCATGAAGCAGTGGTCAACAGAGGCATAATAACCAAAACCCCATACACATGTCACTGAGCATCAAAACTCAAAAAGAAAAACTTGCTGGACTGAAAGGGGCAATGGCCCAATCCCCAACTGTACTTCAGGACTTCAGTTCTCTTTCACAGTGTCCGATGGAAAAAGAACAACAAGAAACCCATCCAAGGGAAGAGCTGAATAGTCATGACCATCATCAAAAGCTCTACCCAAAGACTGAGACTCTGTATGCTCTTGGAGGAATTCTCACAGAACACTCATCGCGACAGGCTATGCCCTGAGTCGAGAACCAAATGTGAGAACACTTCAAAATAAATAAAATCACACAAACTACGAACTAAAGCGGAATAATAGCATGATAAGCTCTGAAGCCTCCAAGTGCATGGAAGTTAGACATATTTCTAAACACATTATGAGTCAAAGAGAACATTTTAAGAATCAATGTAGGGAGCCAGCATTGTGGCACTGCGGGTTAAGCTACCACCGGCAATGCAGGCATTCTATATGGTTCCCAACCCTGCTGCTCTATTTCTCATCCAACTCCCTGCTATGCTAGGAGGAAAACAGAAGGTGCTCCAAGTTCTTGGACCCCTGCACCTATGGGAGAGACCTGAAAGAAGCTCCTGGCTTCGAGTTCCTAGCTAGGGACTGGCCCAGCCTCAGCTGTCATGTGGTGAGTGAATCAGAGGACAGAAGATCTCAGTCTCCCCCTCTGTCTCTCTCTCCCTGTGTAAACTCTTTCAAATGAATACATCTTTTAAAAAGAAAAATAAATAAATAAGTGTCTTGAACTTACAAGGATATACATAGGGATGCTTATAAGAAGTTGCTAACGCAGCATTGAGAGGGAAGTTTATAGAACCAACTGCTTACACATTATGAGAGACAAAAAGGCAACGATGGAAGATTCCATCTTCGGATGTTTTTATCAAAAGAGAAAAACAAACACAAATCAAGCAGAAGAAATGCAATAATAAACATAGCCCCCCAAATCAATGTAATTAAAAACTGGAAAAGAGAGAGAGAGAAAATAATGGAAGTCTGGCTCTTTGAAAGCCTTTTAAACATTGAAAAATCACTAGCTAAGTTATTAGCAAAGCAAAAGGAGCGAGGACAGGAGCTAGCCAGGTCAGCGACCAAAGTGATCATGCCACAGACCCCGCAGACATCACAACAACAAGAAAATCCGGCAAACGATTCGGGCCCACAATTCGAAAACTCAGATGAAACGGACTAATCCTTTCAAAGCCACGAACAGTCCAAACCCAAGCAAAAGGAAATGAATAGTCTGAATAATTTATAGCGATTGCAAGAAGTGAATCTTAGAGTTAGAAACCTTGCCGCAAACAAGACTCTGAGTCCGGTATCTTGAATGCTGAATTCTACCACACACTGCTCAGACGAATCAGGCCGAGAGTACACGACTTGCACAAAATGTAAGAGAAAAGGAATGCTTCCCCAATCATCTGATGAAGCCAGAGTCAGCTTGATGGCAAAGGCAGAGAGATGGCACCGGAAAACCACACACCAATGTCCTTCATCAGGACAAAAATCCTTGGCGCAAAAATCCTCAGCAAATGATTTGCAAAGCAAATCTAATCATGAAATAAAGAAGGCATTGTGACCAACTGGGCTTATCACATACATTGCACATTCGATATTCAAAAAGACTGGTCAGGGCAGCCCGTAATACCGAGAAACTCAAG